AGACTTTAGCAAAGCATTTGACAGAGTACCACAACAGAGGCTTCTGAGAAAAATTAAGGCTCATGGTATCGAGGGGAAAGTTTTAAATTGGATAAAATCATGGCTCACCGATAGAACGCAGAGGGTCAGCGTAGATGGTGTTAAATCTGAGTGGGGCCGTGTAACCAGTGGGGTTCCCCAGGGGTCAGTACTAGGCCCACTCTTGTTCATAATCTACATAAACGATCTAGATACCGGGATCAGCAGTGACATAAGCAGGTTTGCGGATGACACCAAAATAGGGCGGCAGATTAATTCAGGGCAGGATGCAAATGCATTCACTAGCGTAGCTAGGGGGGGGCGGGGGGGGCGGTCCGCCCCGGGCGGCAGTTTTGGGGGGGCGGCACTTTTGGGTCTGCTCATCACCCATATCTGCAGCTACTGGAGACGTTAATCCATCCCTTTGTATCGGCGGCAAGTTAATCCTTGTCGTGTCTGACCTAACACCTGACCCACATCATCACGGCCACGTCATGAGCTACACCCTTGCTATGAGGCCCCCCGCCACACACACAACCTGTAACCTGTTGAGGATTAAGGAAACAACTTCAAACAAGTACGCCAGTGAGCTCATGTGGTGTGGGTCAGGTGTTAGGTCAGATACGACGAGGATTAACTTGCCGCCGATACAAAGGGAAGGATTAACGTCTCCAGTAGCTGTAAAACCATGCAGTCTCGGGTCATATCAGTTCATGTACAGCCGACCAATCCACCAGTTACAAGCAATTCACTTCAGTTCTGCACAAGTCTCCATCGTGACAAGACGAGGGGAGGCTAGACGACTTTTAAGTTCTCTTGTGTTTTCGATCCAGTTATTTACTTCGTTGGAAGACATAATACTATAAGGTAAGAAATATTAAAGTATTGGTTAAAAAATATTGATGTGACTTTTGCTGCGGTACTGAGATTAAATATTAAGATTTTGTTTCACAGCATTGCGATTTTATACTAAGACACTATCCTCACTGGGGTACAGACAAAAGCCCCCCCGACAAAAGCCACCCAGACAAAAGCCCCCCAGACGAAAGCCACCCAGACAAAAGCCCCCTACTTTGATCGGGGTGGCTTTTGTCTGACAACAGTAAGGCAAACTATTTAATATATATATATATATATATATATATATATATATATATATATATATATATATATATATATATATATATATATATATATATAATAGTGAGTCACTGTGCAATATGTATTTTTTGGGTCGGGGGGGGGCGGCAAACTCAAGGGCCGCCCCGGGCTGCACACACTCTAGCTACGCCACTGAATGCATTACAGGAGGATCTAAATAAACTGCAGGGGTGGTCTGAAAAATGGCAAATGAAATTCAACACCAGCAAGTACAGCGTACTTAATATTGGAAGAACAATTACTGATAATGTATACAGCCTTAACAACATCAACCTAGAGAAGTCGACTTGTGAAAGAGACCTAGGGGTACTTGTAAGCCCGGACCTACGGCCTAGAAAACAGTGCGTTAATGTTCGAATTAAGGCAAACAGAGTACTTGTATTGGGTTTCATATCGAGAAGTGTAAGTAACAAGAGTGCAGAGGTCTTATTGCAACTATATCTTGAGCTAGTCAGGCCGCACCTCAATTATGCGGTTCAGTTCTGGTGCCCTTATTATACAGAATGGATATAAATTCACTGGAGTCGGTGCAGCCAAGAATGACAAAAATGATTCCGGGACTTAGAAACCTTCCATATCAGGATAGGTTAAAGAAACTTAACTTGCATTCCCTAGAAAGATGAAGAGTGCGGGTAGATATGATGGAAGTATTTAAGTGGGTGAAAGGAATCAATAAAGGGGGTATAGATAAAGTTTTTATAATATCCGAGCAGGATAGGACTCGGGGCAACGGATTTAAGTTGGATAAGTTTAGGTTTAGGAGGGAGATAGGAAGAAACTGGTTCACAAATTGGGTGGTGGACGAGTGGAACAAGCTTAGCAACTTTGTAGTAAGTGCGGGAACTCTGGAAAGTTTCAAAAGGAGGCTGGATAGATTCATGGATGATAGAGAGTGGTAGTAACTCTTTACTTTTTACTTTTATCCTCTTCGCCACTGATCGGCTTGTTAGCCGCTTGGGCGATCGGTCACGACTCTTTTCCTTTATATTCTTCACCAAAAGGTCGGCTCGCTAGCCGCCCGGGCGATCGGTCACGTCTCTGTCACGCACTGTTGGCAAATACTGGGCATGCACCGGCTCCTGAATGTACCTGAACCCGCTCCAGTGTTGGTCAAGTCTTCTCTTGAAAGAGCTCACACTCGGTGCCGTCACAACACTCTCTGGTAGATTGTTCCAAGAGTTTACAACCCTCACTCCGAAAAAGTTTGCCCTCACGGTTTTCCGGACTTGCGGCTTCTTCAATCTTGAGCTGTGACCCCTTGTGGGGCGAGCGTCCGCCAGCTCCAAGTAAGGACACTCAACTGAGTAGTGCCCCCTGAGATGCTTATAAACCTCAACTAGGTCCCCCCTTGCCCGTCTGTAGTATAAGCTAGGCAAGTTCAGGCGCTCCAATCTCGCAGGGTAGCTGAGATGCCGAAGTGCAGGCACCAGCTTGGTGGCCCTCCTTTGAACATTTTCAACCAACTGACAGTCCCTAGCATATCTCGGGGACCAGATGGGGTGACAGTACTCCAGATGGGGAAGCACTTCACTCCTGAAGATCGTCACGAGGGACGGACCGTCTAGATATCTGAACGACCTTCTTATAAGACCCAATAATTTATTTGCCTGATTTACCTTCTTCTCACAATGGCCCGAGAACTTCAGCTCATTGTCAACATACACACCTAGGTCCTTCTCACACACAGTCTCAACTAGTACATTTTCTTCATCCCGTTGGGACATATGGTACGCCTCCTTACCGTTGGTACGCCCCAGGTGCATCCTCTTACACTTCGTGACATTGAATCTCAGCAGCCATTCCTTCGACCATTCCTGGAGCCCACAGAGGTCCTTCTGCAGCTCTTCACAGTCCTCTCGACCGGAGCTGCCATGCACAGGCCACTAGGCATACACTGGGGAATTCGCGGGGTCGGCTACTCAGCGACAAACAGCGCTTGTAGGGGAGAAATCCACTACAAGCCCATACAAAGAGAAATAGACAAACAAAAAGAACTTGACAACTGGCCACATGCAGTACGCTACAAGACGATAACACATAAAGTTGCCGATGTGTAATTTGTCATCGCGTTTATATCATTAATTAATTATCGTACAAGCGTTTTGGAAGATTAAAAAAACGACTATTTAATGTTCTATGGTATTTAATAGTTCCAGAACGTAATATTCTGTAATTTGTGATTTTTTTTAAATTTAAATAGTTAACTACATTGTATTTGGTGTTGAAATGCGTGACCTGAGATGGAGGACGTGACCTTACAGTATTTGGTGTGGTAAGCACTAAAAATTTTACAGTTTGCCCCACGAGGGGTCTAGCTAGTTTATTTGGCACCTCACTGCATCTTGCGCAAGGTGAAGTGCAAAAGTGTTTACAGCTCCCAACAGGGAAGCATACGTAGTTCATGCTTGCCTTCGTGACTCATGCATTAAGGGTGTAAATACCTGAAGGGTCATGGGTTTTGTCAGCAAGTTACATAAAGTGACAGAATGATGAGTGTGTGGGGTAAAAATTCCAGGTACAATTTATCTGTTTATGGCAAAGCGTGGCAGGTCCCTAGGAGGAGGGATATCTGGTCAGAGAGGGACGAGGTGTTGGACCTGTAGGGTGAGGTCATAGAACAAGTGAGGATGTAGTAAGAGAGGGTGTGAGAGTCGGGTTGACCACAAAGTTTACAAATAGTGCGGCCAGGCTCAGGGTTGCCAATGTATTCCCATGTGTACCTGTACCCTAGGATAAATCTCATGTACACAATCTGTTGGGATCTAGTCAAGATTGATACTCTTTGTAGTGGCGGTTGTCATCACCGGTTACAGCGTCATAGTGGCATAGTGTGCCCAATGTTTGACGAATGCTTCTCGTTGTGCGGCGTGTATGCGAGATTTGAGATGATTCAGGGAGATGGCGAGGGTGGCTTCAATGTCCTCTTCTTGTGTCGTTCCTTTGTCAAGCCGATCAACAGTGTCACAGGCAGTTATTCCTATATGTGACGAGATCCAAATAAACTTGACATGGATGTCATCGGTTTGCTCTAGCCTGGCGACGGCGGCTACGGTGTATTGGGCGGCAGGGGAGGAGGGAGAGGGTAATTTGAGCCTCGCTAGCGCAGAAGTGCAATGAAACGATGTTGTCTTTGTTTTTGTTATTTGTACGGGTATTAGCCCACCCGGGGCCTGGAGGGCGAAAATGTAATAATAATAATAATAATAACAACACTATAATAATAATAATAATAATAATAATAATAATAATAATAATAAAGAACCATAAAGAAAAAAAGATCGATAGTGAGAAACAATATATATTAATGTTTTGTTGTTAATAATAATAGAAACAATTGAGACCTGCAATTGTGTGCAAATGAGGCAGAAAGTCAGATCAGCAACCTGGGACTTGGTCACAATTTTTGTGATGCCATATGGCAGCAGGGTCTACCATTAGACAACACATCATGCTTCCAATATCTTCCTAGGCAGTAGCATCTCCCTATTTGATGTTATATATGTGTATGTTTATATGCTGCCTTTATTGATTATATATACATTATATATTGTTACTTACCAAAGTTAGAATGTGTTTAGGCCTGTGTAATCACGAATGCGTTAGGCACGTGGAACTATAACAACAACAATAAACCACCTGAGTAGAGTCAGCATGTGGCTTCTCATCTTCCCATTAAATCGTGTAAGATACTACACTGGCGACGATGATGGGATTCAGAAAGAGTTAGTGAAGTCCTTGAAGAGAGGATAGTGACCACTGAAGGCTACTCTGAACCTGGAGAATTTGAGTGAAGAGAGCAACCATGGCTGGCGTCAGTGGATACGGGACCAGGACAAAAGCCCCTCAGTAAAAGTGCAAAATAGGACAGAAGCCCCCTGTTTTTATGTTAAAGAGAGGGTTATTAGAAATGCTAAAAGTATATAGATTTAAATATGAAACTATTACAATTTAAATACAGTAATTAGAATATTATAACTTTCAATTTTGATATAGAACATTATTAAGTAAATAGAAAAGAAAAAAAGCGACATATTTTACCTTTATGTTCATTCTGTATTTACTGAGGTGACCCTTGGGCCCAGTGAGGTCACTAAATGTCAGGGAAGTAATTACCCCAGTAGACAAAACATAAACGGCATTGCAGATTTAATAAGCTTTCCTTGTATACTTCTTTATAACTATAACAGAATTCCTGAAGGTTAGGTTAGATTTGGTTAGCCTAGAGAAGTGATCACAAACTAAAAAAATAAAAAAATTATTTTAAAAATTCTTATTATATCTTCTGGGGGACTTTTGTCCTAGGGGTTTTTTGTCCTACACTCGAGGATACATGGGACGAGTGGGGGAGTATGATGCAGACAAGGAGAACTTCACATCATATTGTGAGAGAATAGACTTCTTCTTCCTGGCAAATGAATTAATGGACGACGGTGGTGATGCTCGGAAGAAGGCCCTTGAAGAGAAAAGGGAAGCAATCTTTTTGACAGGTAGGAACTAATGTTTATTCTACTCTGGTCAATCTGCTTGCTCCAGACAAACCCAAAGACTCCTCACTGATTCAGATTACCAAGATTCTGAAGCAACATTTTGATCCTGCTCCACTTGAGATTGCTGAAAGTTACAATTTTGGCACAAGAGCTAGAGGGAAAGATGAATCAGTAAGTGATTGTATAAGAACATCAGAAAATAAGGAGTTTGCAATAGGCCGGTTGGCCTGTGCATGGCAGCTCCTGTCGAGAGTTCCTACCACTCTCTATCATCCATGAATCTATGTAGCCTCTTTTTAAAACTTTCCAGCATTCCAGCACTTACTACAAAGTTGCAAAGCTTTTTCCACTCGTCCACCACCCTATTTGTGAACCAGTTCCTTCCTATCTCCCTCCTAAACCTAAACTTATCCAACTTAAATCAGTTGCTACGAGTCCTATCCTGCTCGGATATTACAAGAACTTTATCTATATCTCCTTTATTGATTCCTTTCACCCACTTAAATACTTCTATTATATAAATTAAGCAAGATAGTAGTGCAGGCACCAGTCTGGTGGCCCTCCTTCGGACATTTTCAATCAACTGACAGTCCCTAGCATATCTCGGGGACCAGATGAGGTGACAGTACTCCAGATGGGGAAACACTTCACTCTTGAAGATTGTTACGAGGGACGAATCGTCTAGATATCTGAACGACCTTATAAGACCTATTAATTTAGTTGCCTGATTTACCTTCTTCTCGGAAGGGCCCGAGAACTTCAGCTCATTGTCAACGTACACACCTAGGTCCTTTTCACATTCAGTCTCATTTAATGCAGTCTCTTCTTCCCGTTGGGACATAAGATATGCCTCCTTACCATTGGTACGTCCCAGGTGCAGCCTCTTACACTTCGTTACATTGAATCTTAGCAGCCATTTCTTTGACCATTCTTAAAGCTTGCAGAGATCTTTCTGCAGCTCTTCACAGTCTGCTTGGTTCTTAATTTCCCGAAATAAGTTGGCATCATCTGCAAACATTTGTATGGAGGAATGTACAGCTTCAGGCATGTCATTTATGAAGCAAACAAACAATAGCAGGCCCAATACACTGCCCTGTGGTACCCTGCCTGTGACGGGTACACATGATGATTTCGTGCCATTAATTACCACACACTACTTGCGGTCCTGGAGAAAGTCTCCGATCCATGCTAGGACATTCCCCTAATCCCTTACTCTTCCAGTTTATTTTTCGGCCTTTCATTGGGTACACTGTCGAAAGCCTTGGCAAAATCTAGGTAAATAGTGTCGATATTACCACCCTGTTACAGTATTTGGTTCCAAATATCCAGTACCTTGAGTAATTGTCTTAAGCAGGAGCGCCCCGGCATAAAACCGTGTTGGCATTCCATTAAAAGGTTGTTTCCTCTCTTATAGTGCTCTCAAGTGCTTTACATACTATTTTGGTTAGGCTCACCGGTCTATAGTTATTCGTGGAGTGACAATCGCCCTTCTTGAAGATAGGACTCACATAAGCCACTTTCCAGTCACTGGAGACCTTTTGCTCATCCAGGCATTTACTGAACAGGATCTTTAGGGGCTCAGATAGCTCATTGCACAACTCCCTTGGCACTCTGGGATGCACCAAGTCAGGTCCAGGACTCTTTGATAGTCTATTTCTTATAACCGCTTCTGTGAACACAATGTGGGTCAGTGCTGTGTCATACCGTCTGTCCTCAAACACAGGAAGATCGTTTGCATTCTCTCTTATGAACACCGAGGAAAAGAAGCTGTTCAATGCCTCAGCTTTGTCCTGGTCAGTATCTGTGTAGCTACCATCTTCAAGCCTCAGGTCCGATACACCTACTCGCGTTTTTAATTTTGACTTTCTGTAATGGTAAAAAGCCTTTGACTTTGTTTGGTTCCTGGCTCTTGCATACATCCTCCTATCCTGCTCATCGTTTGACCTAACCCACGTTTTGAATTTCTGGGTTTTCTTCTTAACTTTATCGACTGCTGCATGGTTCATGTGTAGCAGTCTCCTTGTATTCCTAGAGGCACTGGGTTTGGTCTTGGATATATATTTCTCGATCAAATGGTTCAATTTATTGGCTATCATATTTAGCATAGTGTCTGCATTCTTATGCCTTAGTGAGTCAGGTCAGTGGATACCCCTCATTTCCTCCTTCATCCTGTCGTAATATTCCTTGTAATATTTGCACCTTGGCCTGGTTTTGTCTTGAACTGAGTTACAGTTAAACCTGAAGGACAACATTACATGGTGGCTGGTGCCAACTGGGGCTAGATGTTCCTGTTTGGCCACCATACTCTCCTCGTTTGTTATGACGAGGTCCAGTGGCTTGGGTGTTTGCTCCCCATTGTAATGCATCGGATCTTTCACATTTTGGAACGGAAAATTATTTCTCAGGGTTTCTACAAAAAGAGTAGTGGGGTTTTTTAAATAATTTGGAGTGAACTCATTTCTCCAGTCAATGTCGCCATAGTTAAAGTCCCCCATGATAAAGAGGTGGCTAGGGTTGAGCCTTGCTGCATTGTCTATTAAGGCTCTTAAGTTCCTTTGGTTTGGTAATCTGCAGTTTGGGGATCTGTAGTTACACCGGACAATAAATACGTCTCCTCCCTTTAATTTAATTTTACACCACTTGGATTCTTCAAAAACATCTTCTCCCTGTACCCTCTCCTGGCTATCATTAGCCATGAAAGAGTTATAAATTGCCAAACTTTGAGTATGGGGACTTTTGAGACACCCTGTATAAAGATTGTTCATGCTAAAATGGGGATGATTTTCTTAGAAATGTGAATAGTTATTGTCTTCTCTTATTCCCTTTTTTTCTAATAATTAACATATTTTCTTATTTTGTTTAAGCTGTATATATTTTGGCAGATAGACTGGAACAACAACCATGTCACCTGGTGTTGGGGGCACAACCAACCAGTGTCCAAAAGTCACTGGAGAAGAGTTAGGCTACTTGTGTAAATCCATCTGTCAAAGAGAGAGAAAAGAGGAACCCGAAATTGTCACCATTATGCCTCCTGCAGCACTGAGCTCCCAGCCCATCACCAGTGTAGGAACAACTCAACATCAGACCACAACATTCCAAGGTATGGTACAACATCTCTCCATACTTACACCCCCAGATTATGCACCCTAGCACTAACCTGACCTTAATTAATCTAATCTACTCTAACCTAACTCCCCACCCTCAGCTGATTCAAGGCGTTTATTCATCGGGTAAAATAAATGGGGTGGATGATCTTTGGATGATCCATTTTCCCTCATGTGCTGTCCATAATCATCTGTAGTTCTCCTCTGTTTTAGACAATGTCCCTCTTGTCATCTGCATACCTCATAACTTTGAAGCACTATGTGTCCTCCTGCTTTAACTCTTCTGCTGATCCCATTTCTTCAGCCATCATCATCTAAGCAAAACTGAAAAAAAAATCCTTAGAGTACAGTAACCCCCCTTTCTTTGCTGCCTTAGAATCTTTTATCGGCAACCCTAATATACACTTCATGGAACATATACAGTACTGTACAAGTGTATGTACAAGCTTCTGTCCCTCCAGATCACATCAATACAGTACTGAATCTTTCAAGATCTCTAGCAACACCTTTGAGTTTATGCTACCAAATGTCTTCTTGAATTTCACAAAACACTCTTTTTACTGGGAATAACCCACCCAGGTCATCAACCCACAATTGGGCCGGGGATTAAAAGAAAGTAAGAATAAAAGAGAAAAAGACTATATTAATCTACACCACGAAGATGCCGGAAAACCAGCTTTTTTGAAGTGAGACAGATTGTAAGAGTATGGAAACTCAGAAGAAAGCAGAGTATTCCACAGTTTGGCTGTGTTAGGAAAGAAGGATGTACTATAACGGGTTATTCTAGTGTGACCGTCATCCACAAAGGAACGGTGGGCACCGCGGGCAAGACGAGTGTTATGAGCCCATGGCCTTGCCGGCGGTACACAGGATGCCAAATCCACCGAACATTGCCCGTTAAAGTAAGCAACATTATAGCGAAGTGAAAGGGAAGAGAGATTTATCAACTAAAGGAGGAGAGTAAATAAGATGAAATGCCTGTGATTCCGCCCTATATAACAGTTGGACAGAAGAAGAGCCACCCCAGATATGAGAGCAGTACTCCAAGTTAGGTCAAATGAATCCCTTATATACTAGAAGCAACTGTTCAGGGGTGAAGCAGCATTTGTACAACATTCCCAGCTTTTGGGAGGCAGCTTTACCAATGTTTTGGATGTGTGGCTTCCATGACACTTTAGAGGAAATGGTGAGGCCTAACATATCTTAGAATTTAGCAGAATGATTGTGTTCTGAAATGTGATTGGTGGGAGATCTTTTATTTTGGAAAGTATAATTGGTAAATACTGGTTTTATTACTATTGAATTTAACCAGGTTTCTACCTTCCCATTCGGAGATGCTGCATAGATCCACATTGATAGATGAAATGATATCAGCTCTAGAAACAGATCTAGTTTGAGAATTAGGGGAAACGAAAAATGTGAAGAAGAATGAAGAGTAGAATCACCAACATAAGAATGGATACAATTAGCTGTAGTAAGAAATAAATGATTGATAAAAAGAAGGAGGAGAGTAGGAGAAAGAACAGAACCCTATGGGACACCACTATTTGTAGAAAAAGAGCAAGAGATTGATCCCTCGACAATAACTGCCATGGATCGGTTCTCAAGGAAGCTAGAAATTAGAGAACAAAGTGGGGGAGAGAAACCATAAGAGGGAGGTTTAGAAAGCAAAGACTTGTGCCATACCCTGTCAAATGTTTATGTCGAGGGCCACGACATAAGTTTCCCCATTATCCCTAAGAGAGGATGACCAAAGCTGGGTGCAGTAGGAGAGCAAATCACCAGTAGATCTTGCCTAGCGAAAGCCATATACTGGTGATCCGACAAAATAGAAAGGCGTTCAAGGTGTCGGAGAAAATGGGACGATAGTTAGAGGGATTAGAATGGTCACCCTTCTTTGGGATGGGCTGAACTGCATCACTCCAACACCTGTTATTATTTCATATCTCTTTTCTTAATCCAGATTGATTCCAGCTTAAAAAAAAATATTAATCTCTGTCCCCATTGATTTTGCCAGTACTCTCAGCCAAGTACAGTGGTCCCTCGATTAACGAACGGTTCAATTAACGAAATTTTGGTTAACGAATTAGCTCCCATAAGGATTTTCAGTTACGTTAACGAACAAAACTTCGATTAACGAAAGCCTCAGGAGAAACATGCTTTGTTGTGTGCATCAGCTAATCAGCTAGTCCGCCAATACAGTACTGTAATCAATTCTATGTTTACATTCGTTATCAGTGGAGTAAATATCAAGAAAGTTGTGCTCTTGAATATTTTTGCATTTTTTATATTAAAATTATTGGTCATTCTGAAATTTACTTAACATATTGATAATATATACAGTACAGGGAATAGTTTTTGTTTGCCCTTCAGCTAATCGGATCACCCAACAATGCTTCTGTTTAATTTTGTTTACAGTGGAGTGAACATCTAGTTTGTTGTTCTCTTGAATATTTTTGCATTTTTACATTAAAATTTTTGGTCATTCTGAAATTTAGTTAACATGTTGATGACATACAGTGCAGAAATTATTATGAAACACGAAGAAGGCATTAGAACCAATGCACTCTGTAAAGAATATGGCATGTCATCATTGACTGCCTCTACAATCAGCTGTTTGATATGTAAACAAAGCTGCCAGGAATACAACATACACACCTCAAAGTAAGTTAGAATATAGTATTCTATTGATTTTTATTTATTATTATACAGTATACTGTACAGTATACTGTACAGTACAGTACTTTGTATGTATACTTTTTCTGTGAGTTGGAACCAATTACCCAATATCCCATTGAAATACTAGATTCAGTTAACGAAATTTTCGGTTAACAACCGACTCTGTGGATCCAATTGTGTTCATTAATCGAGGGACCACTGTATTAGATAATGCCGAGTCAGACTGATTGTAAGCTCCTGCAACTGACTAGCTTATACTACAGATGGGCAGGGGGAACCTAATTGAGGTGTATAAACATCTTAAAGGGCACTACTGAGTTCAATGTCCATACCTGGAGCTAGCGGAAGTCTGTCCCACAAGGGGTCACAGCTCAAGGATGAAGTAGCCGCAAGTCCAGAAAACTGTGAGGGTGAACTTTTTTGGAATGAGAATTGTGAACTCTTGGAACAATCTGCCAGAGAGTGTTGTGACGGCACTGAGTGTGAGCTGTTTCAAGACCAGACTTGACCAGCACTGGAGCAGGTTCAGATACATTTAGGAGCAAGTACTTGCCAACTGTGCGTAACAGAGACGAGATCGACTGCCCAAATGGCTAATGAGCCGATCAGTGGCAAAGAGGATAAAAGTCTTTGCGTAGCCAGATCAACACCATTTTCCTTATTTTCTGATTTTGTAAAAAGTTTTGCAGGAATTTCTTTGGCTCTGACATTCACTGTTCCTCGACATAATCGTGGCTCCTATCTTATTCTCACATAGCTCTGGGTCTTTGGCAGGATTTCCAAGTCTTCATCTGACTCCAATTCTGGGTCATCTATCTTTAATTCATGTTTTTTGTTCTGTTACTCTTTGATGTAACTTTTCTACCAGCTGCTGGTTATATCCGGTGTGTTTAACAAGCTTCCATTTTCATTATTATTGTACAGTACAGTACTATAGTTTCCATTTTCTGTGTTGATATTTTATTTTCCTTTTAGTTTGTTTGTTAGTCCTCTATACTGTAACTCCTTATTTTCATCTACCCTTGAAAGGTATTTTTTCTCTCTCTCCAAGTATTTCCCCCATCCTTCAGTATATCACCCACAGTTTGGTACTAATGAAATAATGTAATGAGATGGTTGGATGTTCCTGTTACGTGAGAGAGAAGGTAAACAGGATTTTTTTTTTTACAGGGATTAGCCCACCCGGGCACAGGTCACTGACCCACATCAGGGCCTGGGGGCGAAAATGTAATAATAATAATTGTTCATAGTAAATAAAATTTATAATAAAATGAAATAAAAATTTGAAAATACATGTATACAGTGGTCCCTCGGTTAACAAACGCCTCGGTTAACGAAATTTCGGTTAATGAACTGCCTCCCATAAGATTCTTAAATTCGGTGAACGAATTACTTACGAACCGACCTCAACATGTTTTCACTTGCACTGGCCGGTCAACCAGTTTTAGTATTAGTCCGCCAATACATTAATCGGTTCTAGGGCTTAAATTCCTTACTATTTTAGTAAATATCAAGAAGTTTATACTATTCAATAATTTTAAAAGTTTAATATTAAATTTTTTAGTCATTTTAACAATTATTGAACATAATTGAAGGTAAAGTGACTAGTTTAATGCGCGCATCCAGCCTCTTAACACAGCAAACAGGCGTTAGTCTCTCTCTGTTTTCACTGGAGGTAACATCTTGCTTGAGACTCTCTCAACTAAACGCTTTTTTTCTGTGTTTCCAAGCAAATTATTGGTCATTTTGAAATATATTTTACGTATTGACAATATATAATGCAGTGCAGTGTTGATTTAAAGAAAATAATCTTGAAATACACCAAGAGAACTAAAATGTTATGGGTGAAATGGTGCCATGGGGTGACTTCTCTTCCATCCCAATGCCTTCTCTTCTTCCTTCTCCTCCACCCCCATTCTAATTCCCATCATCATCATCATCATCATCATCATCATCATCATCCAGGAGCCTTCTACATACACACCTCAAAGTAAGTGAACTTTTCTACCATTTTTGTTGAATTTAGGCAATTTTCGGTGAGCTGGAACCAATTACCCCAAAACCCATTGAAACAATGGTTTTGGTTTACGAATTTTTCGGTTAACGAACAACCTGCTGAAACGGATTGTGTTCGTTAACCGAAGGACCACTGTATTATAATAATAATAAAGAACCATAAAGAAATAAAAAAAATAAAAAAAGATCAAAAGTGAGAAACAATATATGTTTGTTGTGTTGTCAATAGTAAGAGAAACACTTGAGACCCTGCAATTGTGTGTAAATGAGGCAGCAAGTCAGATCAGCAACTTGGGACTTGGTCACAATTTTCGTGATGCCATATGGCAGCAGGGTCTACCATTAGACAACACATTATGCTTCCAATATCTTCCCAGGCGGTAGTACCTCCCTGTTTGATAGCTGCCTACTACCATAAAATGGAGTGCTGGTAAAGATGATATAGTGTACTGTATACCGTATTTATGCAAACCAGAGTGTGTGTGTGCGCGCGCTTCAACTGTATTAATGTAATGTTCCACCTTTCAGCCAATAAGAAGACAGCCTCTACCAAGACCACTGGAAAGCCCTCCCAAAAAGTAAGATATTAAAAACGTTTTACTGCTTTTAGTTTACCTATGTATTGCTTTGCCAGTTGACCATCCATATGTCCATGAACTTTTCTTATGTTTTACTTCTCAAAACTTATTACCTAAGTTTTTGCAGAAATTTCACAGATGTGATCTTTGAATTGTTCTCTCAAAATTGTGCCTGATAGAGTATTGTATCAGTGATATAGTCATGACCACAAATGCCATAATAGATTCCCTTAAGATTAGTCAATAGTGGGAAGACTTGAGGCTGGTTAAGTTGAGGGGTGAAACTTCAGATGAGCACTTGGGGGCCAATCCATAAGTGATCCATAAAAACTAAAATTGCAAATGGTCTCTGGGTCAGTCTTGACTACATCACTGCAATTAACGGTACAGTATTAGAAATAGAATATACCTTAGATATTTTCTTAAACCACAAAAACAATATTGTATCATCACACTCATTCAAAAGGTACGGGACTGTACAGTGTATGAAAACATTTTCCAAGTGTACATTCACCCTTAGTTTGAAAGTTAATTCTTGTAGTTTATTTACTGTTTGTCTGTTGTACTGAGTATCATGCTATTGTCACTGTTATGATTATTATTACACCCCTATAAATTTTCTCTATACAGTACTTGTACTGTACATCTCTTCTTTATTTTCTTTATCCCCCTCCATTTTTTTTAATGTCTCTGCTGTGTTAACTACAGTAATCTATTCCCAAAGAAAAATTCCTTTTGCTCTTTTAAAATTTCTAGCCTGTTCTCATCTGAAACCACAGCCTCCTCTGTCTTCACCCCAGGCCCAGACCATTCCCATCTTCTCCCTGTCTTCTCCACCCTCACCCCAAACCATTCCCTTCTCCTTGTCTTCTCTGTCCTCACCTCAGACCACTCCCTCCTTCTCCCTGTCTTCTCTCTCCTCACCTCAGACCATTGCAATAAACATATTTGCCAACTAGACATAATCCTGACAGCTCTGTCCTCTTGTTCAACCTTAATACTGTACAACCCATGTTGTAACCCATGACTAGTTACAACAATTATAGTCATTGTTAACTATATTACATTACATTAATTATTCTTCAGTCGCTACAATATTTTCATATTGTCAATGGTCAAACACAGTGTCGGAAACCAAAAAAATATTTAAACATTTACACAGGACTGGATCCAACTGTGCCTCATTCACCTGAAGGGGTTGGTGGGTCCCTCCAGGTGCCCAGGAGTGTTACCAATACGAGTACAGTACCTGTAATACAGTTTTCATATGTTTGGATGATTCCCCCCAAATCTCAGAATATCAAATGCCTCTGCTAATCCATGTCAGATTACAACTCATATGATACCACTCACATAAATTCATTGATATATATATATATATGTCTACAATCCCACATTATTCCCTCTGATCTGAAGATATTTTATTTGAAGCCATGTACTGTACAGTACTGGAATATTAAACCTTGAAAAAAAATATTATCCTGAAAAAATATGAATACTGTACAGTAGACAGATTTCTTTAAAAGACAAGATAGCTAAGGCATATTATTGGAAACTGTATTGTATATCTAAATTTTTTTTTTAAGTTATTGTATACAGTATATTGTTTGTGTTTGATTAATTGATCAGCTGTACAGTGCTCAAGCATTAGTAAAACAGGAATTTCAGTTTGATTTTAGTGTGAACAGAGCAATTATTGATTTTTACCACTACTGTAAATACAATAATATTAAATAAAAGATTGGGGTTTCTGAATAAATACTGTATAATGAATGGAAAGAAGAATATATTTGTACAGGCACTGTACCTGTAATGTAATATGCTATTTTTCCAACAGGATACTTTGCAGCTCTTAATAAGTGGCATTTGTAAGTCTTACGTGATACAGTACAGTACAGTGGTCCCTCGGTTAACGAGATTTCGGTTAACGATTTACCTTCCATAAGATTCTTAACTTCGGTTAACGAGCAATCCCTCGATTAACAAGTTTTTTACGAGCCGACTTCAACATGTTTTCGCTTGCATTTGGCGGTCCACCAGCTGTAGTATTAGTCTGCCAATACAGTAATCGGTTTTAGGGCTTAAATTCCTTAATATTTTAGTAAATATCAAGAAGTTTATACTATTCAATAATTTTAAAAGTTTAATATTAACTTTTTTAGTCATTTTAACAATTATTGAACATAATTGAAGGAAAAGAAACTAGTTTCTGGCGTGCCATCCAGCCTGTTAACACACAAGACAGGCGTTAGTCTCTCTCTGTTTTCAGTGGACGTAACATCTTGCTTGAGACTCTCTTCAACTAAACGCTTTTTTTCTGTGTTTCCAAGCAAATTATTGGTCATTTTGAAATATATTTTACATACTGACAATATATAATGCAGTGCAGTGTTGATTTAAAGAAAATAATCTTGAAATACACCAAGATAACTAAAATTTTATGGGTGAAATGGTGCCATGGGGTGACTTCTCTTCCACCCCAATGCCTTCTCTTCTTCCTTCTCCTCCACCCCCATTCTAATTCCCATCGTCATCATCATCCAGGAGCCTTCTACATACACACCTCAAAGTAAGTGTACTTTTCTACCTTTTTTGTTGAATTTAGGCAATTTTCAGTGAGCTGGAACCAATTACCCAAAAACCCATTGAAACAATGGTTTCGGTTAACGAGCAACCTGTTGGAATGGATTGTGCTTGTTAACCGAGGGACCACTGTATCTGGCTTTTGGATGGGAACTTGCCATAGAAGACATATAACAGTGCTTAGTTTATATAAGTGTGACAAGTATGTAGTAATATCATGTTGTGCTTTTGTTGCAGGGACCACCTACAAGCTGGGGGGATCAGCTGCTAAAGAAACGTCCAGGAAAGGGTGGCGCCACAATACTCTGGCGTCCTGGCAGTGGTCGACATGTTAGCGAAGGGGCCAACTCCTACAGACCTTTCACTCACATCGTCCGGACACTACACCTTGAAGATGCTGTTGATGTTTGCACTAGAAGAAGGATAGAGCCTAAAAATGTCGTTACCTTTAGCAGTATTGATTCTCGAGTGTTATCCCCAACCCACCCTTGTGCCAACATGAAAGTGCTTTGGTTTAGTGCAAGTTCTGCTGACCAAGATGAAGATGCATCAGATTGGTATGGCAATGTTGAGTTTGCTGTAGATGCTAAAATTTTGCTTGAGCGTTGGAAATATTCCTTCCTGGTGGAGATGATGACAACACCAACACACACAACTACCCGCATCTTGGTAACCAACACTGACTACTCTGATATATTGCCAGAATACAATCGATACTGTGCAGGAGGACCTTGGCAGGTCACCTCAGAAGGTCAGTTTACACTCAGCAAGTGCTCACGTTTCAAATTCCGGGGTACCAACATTCATGAACACATTACTGAATTCATGCTGGAAGTAACCCCAAAGGATGAAAAGAAAATCCTTAAGGCATGTCAGATATCTTTCAAGAATCATGAGGATGCACAAGATATGAAAGTACGTCATGTATGTAATAGATATCAGCGTGCTGGCCAACCATGTCCTTCTCCATTTTCTCGTCCCCTCACTGCCTTTTATTTCTTTGATAAAATACAACAAAATAAAGTGTGTTGGAATACAGGCACTCCCAAACTTTCCGTAAGTGCACAACAGTATCTTCAGTCATTCTTAGATAATTCACAGGATCATAGTCAAGTTACAGTCTGAAAAATATTCAGAATTTCACTCTTACAGAATTATTTCTTCATTCACTCGTCATAACCAGAAGGCACATTAGTGTTTGGAATATTCTTCATTAATTTGGGGAAATGAGATAAGTCCATATCTGCCATTTCCATACAGAATATTGGGGCAAGTGCAAGTAGGTGTTATCTCTAGTTCAAGTCAGGTTGTTCTGCATACAGTACAGTAGACAGCACTTAAACTTACTAGATTACACAATTTCCCATTTTATATTCATTATTCATGTCTTCATGTCATTATATTTCATTGCATCTACCAAAATTAACCTCTTGTCTGAAGCAAACTTTCAGATTTGTAACACCCATGTTTCGTCACCATTTAAAATTGTTTTAAAACCATGCGTGATCCACAACACATTTAGAGTACATGTACATTTCATTCCCAAGTTTTGCATTGTTACAGTGTTGGTGAGCAGGTCCTGAGAAATGGAGAAGATGGCCTTTAATGTGTATTTGAATTTACATTTACCTGTACTTGATGGTCAGATGGACAATCCATATTCATGTGTCGTACAGTACCATTGAAACCTATGTAATCAGACCCACTCGTAGGACTTAGACCGGGGTAGTCTGAATATCCAAATATAACCATTCTGTAGAGAGATATGCTAGGTCTAATTACAGAATAAGTACGGTAATTGAATTATCAATTACAGTATAAGTATATGCAAGACTAACTCAGGAAAAACCTGTTTTTAACTTTTATTCATATTGACAGTACAGTAGAGTACAGCACAATAATTTACACAAAAATCACATTACACCTGTACAGTATATTGTATGCAAAACATTTCTGTACAGCATTTAAATCCATATTATTTATAGTTAATTTAAATATTAATTTATCCAAATTATTCACTGGGTCATCAGCCGAATTCATTCATTAAAATTTTGATTTTTATTGTAAGGAATCGTATCTGATCCCTTTACCACTTACGCAGTCCTAAATGTTTAAAGTGTTACTGTGTGACCCTCATATGATGATGTCATGGTGCTTTGTGTTGTGATTCTGCTCGAAGCAGTTGACATGAATCAGTATCTGTGTCCTCATGCAGGGGCAGTCTTTATGAAGCAGCTTTCTCTCACTGGGTGGTCATATGGCATCACTACTGTTGACATTTGTTAATGACCTCAATTGACCTAACACCAATAGGCTTAACAGTGCATTGTACAAATCTTGCACAGTGCATAACAATGATAAGATGGGTTCTGACTTTAGAGAAAATTTAAGAGGATTGGATTACATAGTGCTGTAAATGACCTTGGAACCAAAAGCAAAAGTTGAAATCAGCTCTACAAATGGCTGCTACACTCTACTGGTGATAAGTAAGTGTAAACTTGGAGGAATTGAATTTGAATGGCTAATTTATGAAGGTGACCTGAGTACACAGGTGATAAGATTAGCTGGCTGGTTTTATTTTACAATGATGTGCATACTTGAACAGTAATAATAAGCATGAAGTTACAATTAATTTAGGTCATCAAATTGTTACAATTTAATGACTAAATTGGATTGTCTTCATTTAGATTATTTCAATGAAGATTTTTTTCATTTGCTGTATTAGAGAGAATTCTAAAGACAAATTAAACCTGTACTGTATAGACAGTATTCTTGTGCAAAGGTTTGTGTGATGTATAAGTATTGGTAGTTTTATAACAAGATTTAAAACAACTTAATTCATTACTACTAGCACATTATAAGATTAACTTGCAATACATGTAATGAAATATAAAAGGACTAAGCTTTAGGTGAAAGTAGAGAACAACTCCTAAAGTTTCAAAGTTAAAGACTGTGATAATACTCTACCATACTTCTACTTTATCCATTATTATATGCTGTATATTGTAGCATTTATGTTGAAAATAGTATTAATTTTTTATATTCAACAGATTCATAGATCTGTTAACTTTTGTATTTTTTTTTTAAATTTTGTACTGGCATGGCGTGTCCTTTGTGCAGAGTGAATTTCTAAGTTAGGATACAACAATTTAAAATTATATGTTATAAGTAATAAAATGCTCTTCTTATTAACATACATAAGTATTGATAATGATGCAGAGGATATTTTTATTGCATTTTACAGTAATGATTGAAATGAATAAACCAAGAAATTCAAGTTTTGTTTCTATCTTATCCTTAAACTTGCAAAGTTTTGATATTGATGACAGCCTTCCTTTGCTGAGGAATACTGTACAGTACAGTACTGGATAATCTTTTTTAAGGTCAAAGGTCGATGGCTGAGTGATGATAGTATATTGGTGAGGTTTTGCATAGAGGGAGATAGAGATGGTTTGGTCAATTGGAGAGAATGGAGGAAACCAAGTGGATTAAGATATGCACGAGCTCGAATGTGGAGGGGAGGAAGGCTAGGAGTAGGCTAAGAATAACAGAGCATGCAACTTCAAGAGTTGCCATCATATAATCACAGCTAACCCACACAAGCATGGTTAATCTCTAGTTGAAATAAGCTAGGATGTCTTTTCTTCAGATGAGCATCCCTGCTGAAAGGTGTACAGTACTGTAATAAACTAACTTCTCATCTTACTTCATGACTACAGTTTCCAAACAATGGCTAAAAGCAATAAACCTTAGTGATGGTCAGTTCAAAACTAATATTATGTTACATAAATTTATTTGTCAGTGGCCCAAGGTTAAAAATGCTTTGAAAACCTTGGAGCTAGATGTAGGATAGATATTTAGTGGGTCCCTTATTTTTGACCTGACCTGACCTGACTAGTAAGAACATAAGAACCTAAGATAATAAGGAGTCTGCAATAGCCTGGTTGGCCTGTGCATGGCAGCTCCTGTCGAGAGTTACTACCACTCTATCATCCATGAATCTATCCAGTCTCCTTTTGAAACTTTCCAGCATTCCAGCACTTACTACAAAGTTGCTAAGCTTGTTCCACTCGTCCACCACCCTATTTGTGAACCAGTTCCTTCCTATCTCCCTCCTAAACCTAAACTTATCCAAATTAAATCCATTGCTTCGAGTCCTATCCTGCTCGGATATTATAAGAACTTTATCTATACCCCCTTTATTGATTCCTTTCACCCACTTAAATACTTCTATCATATCTCCCCGCACTCTTCGTCTTTCTAGGGAATGCAAGGTTTTTAAGTCCCGGAATCATTTTCGTCATTCTTCGCTGCACCAACTCTAGTCAATTGATATCCATTCTATAACAAGGGCACCAGAACTGAACCGCATAATCGAGGTGCGGCCTGACTAGCGCAAGATATAGTTGCAATAAGACCTCTGCACTCTTATTACTTACACTTCTAGATATAAAACCCAATACTCTGTTTGCCTTATTTCGAACATTAACGCACTGTTTTCTAGGCCGTAGGTCCGGGCTTACAAGTACCCCTAAGTCTCTTTCAATAGTCGACTTCTCTAGGTTGATGTTAAGGCTGTATACATTGACAGTATTTGTTCTTCCAATATTAAGTACGCTGCACTTGCTGGTGTTGAATTTCATTTGCCATTTTTCAGACCACCCCTGCAGTTTATTTAGATCCTTCCGTAATGCATTTGCATCCTGCCCTGAATTAATCTGCCACCCTATTTTGGTGTCATCTGCAAACTTGCTTATGTCACTGCTGATCCCAGTATCTAGATCGTTTATGTAGATTATGAACAAGAGTGGGCCTAGTACTGACCCCTGGGGAACCCCACTGGTTACACGGCCCCACTCAGATTAACACCATCTACGCTGACCCTCTGCGTTCTATCGGTGAGCCGTGATTTTATCCAATTTAAAACTTTCCCCTCGATACCATGAGCCTTAATTTTTCTGAGAAGCCTCTGATGCGGTACTCTGTCAAATGCTTTGCTAAAGTCACGTCGCCCCCATTCTCTTAAGCTCCTCTATGTGTGTGTTGGTGTGGGGATTAGTGGATGACATCATTATGACCTGATCATGTTTAATAAGGTCACCCTGTATATTTAAGCCTATCTCTGTCCATGTGATCCAGTTGCCTCTGAAGCTGTCTAGAATAAAGACGAAAGCTAAGGTGCTCTGTTGTTTCCCTTTCCCGTGTGATTTTATCAAGATATATATATATATATATATATATATATATATATATATATATATATATATATATATATATATATATATATATATATATATATATATATATATATATATATATAGTATATATATATTTATGCCAATTTATACTACATATTGTTGTAACCTCAGTAAAACAAGAGAATATGGGCTATTGAAAGTAAGTCATATGTTAATATCTACCGCGTGAATTATACCCGACCAGACGTTATAAAAAAAAATAACCGCGGGTGGAAATGAGAGCGAATCCCAGCCTGAAGTCTCAATGAAAATGCCATTGATTACCGCCTCGGCTTCTCATCTCCAGGGAAGACGCGACCGTCATCACGTACGTACGAACTCATAGTTGCATCACACTAATTCCACTTTCCTTGCTTAGCTTTATATAAAATTATTTATTTAGTGGTTAATGTTTACGTATTTTATATGTAAATAAAGATCCAGTTTTTTTGGACTGTGCGAAACATAAGTAAATTTTACTAAGGATTTTGGAAAATTTGCATTATCCCGGCACAGTATATCATAGTCTTGTGCTTGTATTCTTAAGTATTTTTCGTATGTAATTTTGCTCTCAACATTTTACTTTATCAGGATATGCCTTAGAGCTGAACGAAAACCGAGTGAACTCATGAGGGGAGACATGTGATCCATTGGATACTAATACATAAAGGTGTAAAAAAAATGGAAAGCATCGCCCTTCAGGCAGGCTACAACTGATGGTACATCTCAGATATATGCAAAAAGAACTTTCTATTTTCTTCAATTTGCATTATTGACACACTGAAAAAATATCTTGTAGGTGTTAGAAATAACTCAGAACATTTTGAAGAAAAGAAAAAGAATACCGACACTTTTTCCATGTTACACAACACACCTAATATGTTTATGGCACGAAAAATGCCTGCAGTTAGTTGTTTACGGATAAACTTTTTCATTTTCTTTTCAGTATTTCACAATAATTTTATTATGTAAGTAACTAAATAGCCTACTTTCTAATTTTGAGATTTCTTACTCGAACGTCACCAGTTTCCCTTTGCTTTCACTGTAAAAGCTCATAACAAAAGCACCAATAAGAACTATCCACCTATGTTATGTACAGAAATCCGCGAGTTGTGATTGGTCATGCTGACACCAGAGCGCAGTGAACGAAGGTACGATTTAAACATCCCATACGCTTGTCCTTTGTTGGCGTCAGATAGTAAACATTACCTTCTTCTTTCCTATAATTCACCAAAATTGTTATGGCACTGGAAGATTAAACTTAAGGTAAGTCTTGTGGCGTTATCTTCGCCGTAGTGGAGTGGAAGAGTGACTCAAGACGAACTTACATCTGAATGAAATACTCAAGTGAAATCTTGGGAATCGGAAACATTGGCAGGGTTAAAAATTTCGCGCATTGCATGCTGCTGGCTCTGAGAATATTTTTATTATTGAATTATTTATCATTTGTCATTTCACAGTCGAATTAAACTTAACGGACTAATCCATCGGTTCAAGTGAATAGCTTGGCATGAAACCCCCAGGAAAGATAGTTTTTGTGTTAATTAAAAAACTGAATCCAAAATGGTGAAGTTGGTGACGGTGGGGACCTGGGAGTCCCCTGGCCAGCCCGGGGTTTAACATACCTCCTGGGTAGTAGGAACCTTAGGTCACCCTAGCCACACCATTACCGTGTACCCTGGGCCTCACTACCCCTACCAAGTGCCACCACGACACCGTTTATAAAGGATTAGTGAAGGGAAATCACGTAAACATGGGGTTTTGGGAGGACTACGGCCGAGTGTTGGACCCAATGGCTTGTTCCTTTGACCCTGAGAGTGGTATTATTGATTGTTTAGGAGAGGAGTACATTAGCTGTGTGGCCCAGCTGGTGGCATGAGCACATGAAGCCACCACTTATGAGCATCACAAGCCTGCCTTTGCCTCTCTGGTGTGGGTGTCACATGCTGCTGAGGCAAGGTGTGCTGGCCTGTTTTTAGTGACCAAGGTGGCTTTGGAAAGGTAAACTGCACACACACAGCTTACTTACAATTGTATCATTTATTCTTAATGATCATTGACATTTAAAAGTTTTCTTTGTCCATGCTGTTGTTGGTGGTGAGTCATGTGTCTTGGGAGTTATCACTGTTGGTGGCAACTGGTATATAACGCTTTTTAATTTTTTTTATTTTGGTTATTCTTTAACAATCTTAAAGCTGTTACTTTGCTTCAGTGTGTTAAAAGTCTTGACAATTCAACTTATTTTGCTTAATTTAGCAGTTAATCGGTCTTCTTTTAGTGCAGTAGAAGTTATACACTATGAAATCTATATTTGACCTAAGTTAAAATCGTTTTGCAGATGATGTGGTCATATTAGTAATTTGCTATGTGTCATGATGTACAGCATTTTGAGACTTCTCTTTGCAAGTTATTCCCTACTCTTTTACATTTACTGTAGGCATATTAAGGTGTCTCATTGGTTACAGACGGAAATGTACAGGTTTAGTGCCACATAAGTAATAGAATTAGAACATTGACTTACTCACAAGTTATATTTTTATATTTTTGTTTATAAATCTGAGTAATTGTAGGAATTTTTTAATAATTTTTTTTAACCTTATCTATTGCATTGTTGTTCGAGTTGTGCACTAAATTAGTTATGTCTGAAAATATTTACAATTGTCACACACATGTGATATTGAGGAGAGGCTGGGCACAATTGAATGACTTGGTGGGAATTATGGGCTAGATGGTACTCGCTGCTGATTGACTGAATTTTAAGATGCTACTTGACTTGAACTGACTAGATACCTCCTGACAACTATGGGAACAGTAACTCTTTTTTTATAATGTAAATACTCATCACTTTTTCTCAATATCCCTTTCCACAATCTTTCATATATATCTTCATACAAATTACTTTTCCTTGGGTGTTCTACAGAGTTAATATTTTTATTCTGTGGGGTGTGGCTTAAATCATACCCTTTCTCTCTCATAACCATTACCTTTTGCCTAATGCCTGTACACCAAGTTTAGTTTTAAGAATGAACCACTGAGCAATATATTATACAGTATACTGTACACTCAAGTTGAGATGTGGTCAGTGGGTTCCAGAACTGTCTACTAAAATCAGAAGTACACCAAGTGATGTATCCTTTTTTCCATATTTGTCAATGTGCTGTAATGGAACATATGTAATGAGGAAGGAATATTCGAGTAGCGGAGAAATAAGTTGTTAAAAGTTTTGATTTTAAACTAGTCATTAGGTGGCAGTCCTAAAACTTGTACATTAGGCTTACCGTACTTGCCCAACAAAGGTTAGATATGGTAATTTTTTGGGATTCTGATTATTCTATTATAACATAATCACTTATTATGTGGCATGTTTGGGAGAATTGATGGAGATGAAGAAGAGCACTACCTTTGTGTATGCTTCTTTAACCCCTTTGTTTCTTGCCAGCTTACTAACTGGTTTTGCGGTCAATCTTTTCACAAGTAATGGTCATATATGTGCTCTTAAATGAACCTGTGTGTGTGTCAAGCCTCTGGGCTTAAATGAGTTCACACTTTGAGTTGCCTCGTGCCACTGACTGTGTCACACTGCTGGTAGAGTGTCCCAGTCATGGGGACTTGGGGAGTCATTTTCTGGCCGAGTGCCAGCAGGAGGATGGCTCCTTCTCCATCTCAGAGGTGCTCACTGAGAAAAGTCCAGTACCTGATGGTGGACTTTTAAAATTATAATTGTAATAGAGGTACTTTATATTATTTTAGTTTTGATATTTAAACTTAATAGGATTGTATTTGATTTTTATCATAGATATAAATTACGAGTTTCATTTTTGGCATCAAATGGCCACAGGCTGTGACACCAGATCGATCAATCAATCAATCAATCAATCAATCAATCAATCAATCAATCAATCAATCAATCAATCAATCAATCAATCAACCAACCAACCAACCAACCAACCAGCCAACCATATACAGTATGTATTGTATAAATTACAATTTCTTCTTCACTTCATCAACAAAATTTTGAAGTAAAAGATAAAATTCTACTATACATACTGTACTGTAGTGGGATATCAGAGTGACGGCACACTTTAAAAACCCAAATTTGAGTGGGGGAACAAATGCCCCATGGAGGATGGGGCACCCTCTTTCCCCACCATTAGAAGGATGCCAGCAAATTATGGCACCAAGCCATTTCTTACAACTGACTTGAATCATTTAAACCTATTCTGATAATCCTAGGATAGGTTTAGGGTAAAACTAATGCAATAAACTTCCTTAATCCACAATTTTTTCATCTTAGCCAGTTAGGTTCGTATTTTCAGTCATCATGTCTGATGGTGTGCCCTGCCATCGGACACCATACGCTTGTGTGGGGTGAGGTCATTGAAGAACGTGTTTCGGGCAATACGATGGGTCGGTATCGTGATGTACCGGGCAGGGCAACCAATATTTCCTAATCGGCTGGATGGCCCACTGTTACCACAACCCAGGCGTTGAGTACTTCAATAATATTTCCCCCAAACACAAAAAATTTAAACCCCCAAAAAAAAAACCCACACATCATATGACCAAACAAACATAAAATTGTTTAGAGGACATCTATGGGATACAGTACATAAATTATTATTCTCTAGTGTTTGTGAAGTTTGTTTTGAAGGTTATATTTCACCGGGTGTTGGCCACACTGGGATGGCCAACAGTTGGCGTAGAGCAAGTTAGCTAACACAATAGCACGGCACAGTGTTGTTTACACATGGATTCACGCCCATGGTCAACTGGGAATATTACAGTTGTAAATAACTGACAATCTTTGAACATAGAGTACAGTACAGTATATGAAAACAAAGTTTTCTTTCACCAACAAACTCAATTTATGTCCGTTTTGAATACAGTCAGTCCTCGACTTACGATGGGGTTAGGGACCGACGACCAGGTCGTAAGTCGAAAATGTGAAAATAATACATAGAAAATCTAAAATGGGTGTCTCTTTTTCTTCTCAACACCACAAAACTCTCACTTTTACGCTTGCCAGCCATTTTAAAGGGAATTACAAACGAAAATTTTGTCAGTACACAGCGCGATCACTAACTTCGGGACTCGAAAATACGTAATTTGAAAAATATTTTATACGACTGCGACGGTCGTATGTCCGGGTGGTCGTAAGTCGAGTAGGTCGTAAGTCGAGTAGGTCGTAAGTCGAGGAGTAGCTGTATGCTGTATTCTATCTTAATATATAAAAATTTGGAGGGTGAAAAGGTTTTTATATTCATTGGGACTGTCATCTGGCAGGCACCCACTCCCTATGAAATGTTCAAATGATCCCGATAGCAAACCCAATGCACCGGGCCTGTGGCGTCTCTGGAAGACCTCACACCCAGTGCTGTTCCCGATCCATCGGGTGGTGTAACGACTGAGAAAATGACCCTGAGACAGAGGAATTGACTACTGTATACAGTTCAGTACCTGGGCATGTTAGTGTTGTCAGTTAAATTCTTTTGTAACTGGTGTGTGGCATCTAGCTTTCCATACATGAATCTTAAATTGACTCTTTCCCCTTAAATGTTAATTTCTCTGACATTTCCATTGATTTTTTATGATTCCCTGACCTGAAAAATAAAATAAAAGAAGAATATTAATTTTCTTATGGTTTGTGACCTATGAGACACCTTTTACAGGTGGGTCATACCGAGTAAGTAACCACGAACAAGAATTTAGTGTAATGAGCATAGTATTTTGAAGGTATTGAAATTTAATGAACAAGTTTATATTTGATTTAACAAGCCAGGTCAACTGACTGGCCCAACCAGCTGCTATGCAGGCTCAACCTCCATTATCAATGCCACTGCAAATTAATGCAACTGTAATGTGTTTCATTGCAGTTTTTGTTATAGTTGAGAGCTTAATACAGGTGTATAAAAATGGATACACACCGTCTTTCAAATTTCCTGGAGATCGTGTGAATGTTTGTATTACAACATTAACATTATCCTCACTTGTGGAAGACCTGGCGCATCAATAAATGAGGACATTGTTGCTGTTGTAATATAAGTATTCACACAATTTTCATACAGGGGGTTTGGCTCAGGCCCATCACTTGACTCGGCATAACATTGAGATACTGTAGTATATGGTTTCTTCATCACCAGATTTTACACATTGAACCTGTACTTACTGTACACACAGCTTTTTACAATCCAAAGTTATTGACTTAAAGCTCATTAAAGTACAACATGCCCTGACAATTCGTGGACCTCTATTATTCGCGGATGACACCCTGGATGTACCTAAAAATGTCTAAGGGTAGCTTTAAAGTTGCTGACATTTTCGAGGCTGGGACAGGGAGCCATTCGTTCTAGAGACAGTAATTTCTTTTGCCTGTATTGTATATGTGTCTGTCTGTAAACACATACAAATAAATAATAATGGGAAAATCCTCTCACAAATAATCAACAACAAAGCATGGAGTTGACTTGAGGGTAGACTCTCACATTTTTAACACATTTTGTTTTCTTGTTTCTGATTATTTATTTGTGAGAGGATTTTCCCATTATTATTTATTTGCATGTGTTTTGTGTGTGTCTACACACACATACATATATACAATACAAGTAAAATTAATAATTGTCCCAAGGGCAAACACATAAAGGGAATATTCACTTCTTTGCACATTAGTAAAAATGTACCCCCCTCCCTGGTCAGCAAATGTTATTCGCGAATCTTAAGGGCATGCAGTATTTTTATCCTTCCATCCAAGATACATAGAATTATTTGTTTTCATATACAGTAGTATATACAATAAACCCTTCTTATTCGCGGGGGTTACGTTCCAAGAAATGGCATGATTAGGCAAAACCGCGAATAGCAACTTATACTACCTTAGTGCACTACTCTATACCTATATCAAACAACCGACCAGCTGCAGCAGCACTCATCCCCTCCTTTAACTTGCCTAATAATTCAATTTTCTTTGTCAGGATCATCACCAACTTCTGCCTTTTACATTTCACTCCACTAGCATCACTAGCACTGACACTTCATAAGAATGGAGGAAACTGCAGCGGGCCTATTGGCCCATACTGGGTAGTCCCATCTACACCCAACCCCTATCGCTCATATATCCATCCAACCTATGTTAGAAGCTATCCAGCGTATTCGAGTTAATGGTGATATTTGGTAACTTGTTCCAGTCGTCCACTACTCTATTTCCAAACCAATGTTTACCTATTTCGCGCCTAAATCTAAATTTGTCTAATTTAAGACCATTGTTACGAGTTCACTCCTGGTTGGATAGTTTGAGTACCTTTGTAATGTCCCCTTTGTTTAGCCCTGACTTCCATTTATACACTTCTATCATATCGCCCCTCACTCTACGTCTCTCGAGGGAGTGCAAATTAAGATGCATTAGCCTGTCTCTGTACTCAAGGTTCCTATTGCCAGGGATTAGTCTTGTCATTCTCCTCTGAATTCTTTCCTAGGATTCCATATCCATTCTGTAAAACGGTGATCAGAATTGCACTGCTTAATCCAAGTTAAGTCTCACAAGCGCAAGATGTAGTTTTAGGATAACCTCGCTAGTCTTGTAACTAACACTCCTTTGTATGAACCCAAGCACTTTATTAGCCTTGTTTCGAGCAAATGCACATTGTTTACTTGGCTTAAGATTCCTACTTATCATTACTCCTAAATTTTTCTCGTAGTCGGATTTCTCAGTAACATCGTTGTTCATCTGGTATATGGTTTCCCTGTTTACATCTCCTATACTGAGTACTTTACATTTGTCCACATTGAATTTCATCTGCCATTTTTCAGACCATTCAAAAAATTTGTTTAGATCTTGCTGCAGTTTTGCGGAGTCCTCGTCAGATTTAATAACACGTCCTATTTTAGTGTCATCAGCAAATTTTCTTATGTTGCTGTCTATGCCGATATCTGTCATTTATGTATATAATATATAATAATGGTCCAAGTACTGAGCCTTGCGTCACTCCACTAGTGACGTTACTCCAATGGTATTTAGTGCCGTTTATGCTCACTCGCTGTTCTCTGTCCTCTAACCACGCTCTAATCCATTTTAGAATATCTCCCTTAATGCCATGAGCTCCACTTTCCTTATTAGTCTTTCGTGGGGGGCTCTGTCAAAGGCTTTGCTAAAGTCACGATATACCACATCATAATTGTGCCCCTTGTCCACTGATTCGAAAACAGATGAAAAGAATGTTAATAGATTAGTTAGACATGAATGCCTGCTTGTGAAGCCATGTTGAGAATCATTGATCAACTTGTGCTTCTCCAGATGATTTAGAATAGAGTTTCAAATGATTGCTTCCAGTAATTTGCCTACAATTGATGTTAGACTGATTGGACGGTAGTTAGAGGATAGTGATCTATCTCCCTTCTTGAAAATCGGTATTACATTCGCTATCCTCCAGGATTCTGGTACTACACCTGTTTTTAAGGACATGTTAAACAACTTTGCTAAGGGCATACTAAGCAATCCTTACATTCCTTTAATACTCTGGCAAATATCTCATTGGGACCTGATGACTCATTCGGCTTTAGTTTGTCTATTTGCTTACTTACATCGTTAGTAGTTACTACTATTTCGCTTAATTTATTTTCTTCACTATCTGTATAAAGTCGGTGCCTCGGGTATCGTGTTTAAATTTTCGGATGCAATCAACGTGAATTTGAGTAATGGTATGTACAAACTGGACAATTTTGTAATTAAGAGGATTTGTAAACCAGGTGAGAAGGCTGGGTCAACTTACACTCTGACCTGATTACCGACTGTTGCAGTGCTTTTTAAAGATTAGTAGGGTCATTACCTAATACCTGACCATTGTGGACCTGATCTCACCCTCCTCTGTATATATACACCTTGTTTTGTACTTCTCCTTAGTCTGTACTCACCCCTGAAGATGTGAATTATACGAAAGCGCTTGGGAACTTCGTGTTTTCTTCTTTCCTTGTGGTTATCAGCATATATATATATATATATATATATATATATATATATATATATATATATATATATATATATATATATATATATATATATATATATATATATATATATATATATATATATATATATATACATACATACATACATACATACATACATACATACATACATACATACATACATACATACATACATACATACATACATACATACATACATACATACATACATACATACATATATTTATTTATTTATTTACCATCCCTCTGACTTTTTTTTTAGATAATCTGTTCATTGTTTGTAATTTTTATGGTCCCTTATTAAAGCCTTGAGGTATTGTTATGTACTGAATTGTCAATTGATCATAAACCTCCATGCTAATATCTGATATCATTTCAGGCATGCATTGAAGAACAGGATGAAGCCAGGTGGGCTGTGCTCCCCTTCTAATGGGAGCAACATGCCTTCTGGAGAAGCAGTTGGTGCTGTTTCTTCCCACAAGCCACCTGATAGCTGTGGTCAGTTCTCTAAGGCCTCCAATACTTCCAGGGAGGGCCATGCCTGCCTCACTCCAGACTTGTTTGAAGAACACAGCCAGGTTGTGCATCCAAGACGTAGCCACATCAATGGTCTCCTCTCACGTGCAGGATTATCCAATGGGGTGTATGCATCTCCATACATCCCAAACAAGGGTGTTGATTTGCCACGCCATGTGTTGTCACCTCCACAAAGTGAGGATGGTGATGATGAAGGACCAACACCATGCACAACTTCTTATGGCACATTTGCAAGAAATTCTGGCAGTGCTGCAGGTGCTGCAGCTTCTAACACCTCTTCTCATCCCGCCAGCCCTACCCACTCACTGCCTAATGTCTGTGGTAAAAGTTTCAAGCAGTTGACTATCGTTACATCTACTCAAGAGGAGAAACCTACCACTTCACCTGATTGCAAGACCTCTGTTGGAACATCAAGTTTATGCTCTTTAGGGAACTCAATGGTTAGTCCAAGGGCAGCTCTTGGTGGGTTTGGTATTGCACCTTTTTCTACAAAGGGTGCACCCCTTACCTCCCCTCGAAGTTCTAAAAGTCCAAAAGGCAGGAGAAGAATTTCCCTTGAGGAAATGGTGACAAAACTGCACACTGAGGCCAACCGAAGTGGAGCTAAGGTAGTGCAAAGCTTTTCCACACAGAATATTTTGAACTATGGAAGAACACCAGAGAAATCTGTGGAATGCTTGCATAAAGATATTTCTAGTTTATCAACTGAAAATAACTCTGGAATGAAGTTTTCTGCCCAGAGTGGACAAAGCCTCCCTTATATATGTGATAATAATAACACTGCCATAATTTTAAATGCTCATCCGAGTAAGGATTCTTCCATTAAGGACAAAAATGTTAAAAGTGATTCAGGAAATATTTGCTGTGGTGAAGATTCCTCTTCAGCATTGTGTGATAGAACTCCTGAAACTGTTGTGAATCAATCACTGGAAGAAACTGATAAAAGCCAAAGTGCTTTACCTGAGAATGTGTCAGAAATACTTTCAAATGTCAGTAAAGCCAATGATAGTGTTGACAATATCCTTGAATCATGTGTTGTAAAGTGTTCAAGTGTAGAAGATGTTAGTGTTAATGTCATTTCATCCTTGACTGGTAACTTACTGAAAAGTGATAAAGAAACTAGATTAAAGGAATTTGGTCAAGATGTAGTTAGAACAGAAAGGAGTGTAGGCAGCTTAGATGTTAGTGCTGGAACATCTAAGGATGCTCAGATTGAAAGTGTGCTCAACCAACAGTGTAATCAAGGGTCTTGCATTGCAAAGGTCTCGCATAGTAAAAGTGAGCAGCAGCTCACCCTGGACTCAGGAAATGTTCATTGTGATGTGACCTCAAGAAACTTGGAACATGTCAAGGAAAGACATGCAGACAGTTCAGTGCAAGTTGCAGCTAAAGTGACAGTTGATGACAGTGTTATAGATTTAACAGCAGAGCCTGAAAGTGTTAGAAGTAATAGTGTTGAACTCCTTGAGAGTGCATGCGTTGAATCTAGAGACAGTGAGAGTGATATTGAAGTATTGTATGAGAAAGGAATAAGTGCTGAAAAGTGTGAGAGATCCACAGAGAGAGATGCAAGAACATCTAGTGGCAGTGATCAGCCACTAAAGGAGCTTGTGACACCAGTGGAAAGTACAAGTGATAAAAGTGCACGAAAATCTTGTAAAAGTGCTCAAGAAATAAATTTACCCAAAAGAGATAATGAACCAAGTGTTTCAACATCTCTTGTGAACACAGACTGTGAAAGTGTGCAATATTTGGAACCAATTTCAGATGATGAAAACTCCCTGCTCTGTGCTCCCTCCCTATCTTCAGGCCTTTCCTCAGTCTCAGGTTTTCAGAGCAACTCCAATACTCCCATGTTCTCAGATACTCCTTCAGATGGATCACAAAGAACATTGATGGTCAGGATTTCTGATGCAGTGGCTGCAATATTATCAGATGTATCTGATGAGAGCCTCCCAGCTTCCCCATTGGCAAGTAATTCAAATTCTGTGGATGGTTTCCAGTCTGTTTTACCAAGTGAGAATTTAAGTGAGAAAATTGATAATATTTGTGAGAAATTAGACAAAGAGTGTGTGAAAGGCAGCAATGTGCATTCTATAGAAAACTCCAAAAAATTGAAGAGTGATTTGAGTTCAAAAAATTTGAGAGAGGTTTCTAATAGGGATCTTGATAAAGAAAGAACTGCTTCACAGGTTGGTACTTTAGATAAGAGTAAATACCTGAAGGATGTCAAAGGTGATGTAGTTCAACATCCATTATGTTTTGAAACTAGGAAGGGTGTTTCTTGTGAAAGTATCTTGCTAACAAAAAGTATATGTGAATTGCCTTCTAGTGTTATACCAAATGAACCAATCATTGAGAAACAAGGTTCTGAGAGTTGTCCCCAAGAGACGAACCTTTCAGAATTAACTGGGCTTAATTCAGAACCCATCCATCTTGCAAGCATGTTGGCCGCATCAGATAGTTACAAAGAATTTGGAAGTTCTAGCTCAGTTTCTGGATTACTAAGTGCTGTTGGCCCCACTGGCCAATCTTCATCTCACTCAACTTCATCACCAGATACACTCGTAGTCTCTAGCTCACCCACACAGGTACCTCTGGAGGATTTAGGCACTGTTACTTGTTGTAGTATGTCAAATACTGGTAGTAATTTATGCCAAAACCCTATCTCAGGATCTCAAACCATTTCTAGTCAAACCCAAAACTGCAATACAACACAGAGTGAGGAGGAGGAGGAGGAGGAGGAGGATGATGCAGCTGGCCTGCTTCTCAAATTGTCCAGTGCAATCACACTGGATAGTCCATGCAGTAGTGGACAGTCATTGGAACCAGTTGCTGATGGTAGCCATGAAATTAACTCTACCACCCATTTTGAAATCCATCCAATTTGGGACTCAGCATTAGGAGAGAATAGTTCATCAGTAAAATCTGCCTTACAACTTGGCTGTGTGCCACCTCTGTCGTCACAGGAAAGCAGCCAGCTGTCATTAGTGCCTGATTTGGAATCTGATAGAGATTTTTTTGTCTCAAAGAAGAGTGACAATATTTATTTGCCTGATCATACTGTGACAAAACCATGGTTAAGAATGGTTGATTCATTTGATGATATCAGGAAAGATGTAGGTAACTTTTCACAAGCAAAATCAGATAAATTACAGCACACAAATGAAACTTCTCACTGTGCTGTGGCTGAATGTCATGCATTTTTAGAATCTGTAGCTGAAAAGAATCCTTTTCCCTGTAAAGAACCCTCTACAGAGGTACCTCAATCACTTGAGTTGTTAGTAAAGGAAACTACTCAAGTTCTTTCAGCACAAGATGATGGCTTTCCAGTTGTTGCTTTTCCTGAAAAGTCTTCCCAAGAGTGCCCAGTACCATCATCAGAACACCCTACTATTCACAGCTCAGTGACAGTGAAAAACAATTGTTGTGTGGAGGAGCAGGCTGAGGATGACTCAAATTTAGAATTGGGTTCACTGATAAAGGCTGTTTTTTTACCTGAAAATGACAATGTATCAGCATCTGAGAGGGTAGTTACCAAAGATCAGGTTAGAACTAAACCTGTTAACATAGAAAATTTTGCAATGACTTTGTGTAAGCTAAATGAGGAAGCAAGATCTTCTGTACCTTCCAGAGAAAATGTGTGTAATGAATCCACTAATGATAATCATTCTTCTTTATTAGAACTTGCCAAAGAAAAATACTCTTCATCTGAAGAATTATGTAGTGATGAAGTGAGTCTGTCACAAGACTCCACTCCCCAAATTTCTGAATCACTATCAGAACTAACTAAGAAGAGTAAACCTGTAGCAGCTGCCATTGAAGAGAGTTGTCCTATAACACTTCTAAACCTGAAAGACAGCACCCCACCCAAAGAAATCCCTACAACTGATACTGATTTTTCTGCTGAGTCCACCTTAGAGGAGGCAGATTTTTCAAAAGTGCCTATCACAGATGTGAAAAGTTCCTTATCTATATCAAGTACTACAGAGAATTCAGCTGTTTCTCCTAACCTTTTTTCCACAGTTGTGCCCTTAGCAAAGCAGGATTCCATAGACCATTCTAGTTATCAGAGTTCTTCTAAAGTAGAATGGAACACCAGTGCGCCCCATTCTCAAATTTTCACTACCTCGGACAAAGTCTCTCCTCATATTGAGTCTACCTCTCCAGATGTCCTCAGCTCATTCAGGAATGTTTCGGAATACAGACGTCCAAAAAATAATTGTCATCCCTCAGGTGGAGCAAGTGAAGACTTCGCTCAGTCTTTGTGTGAAGGTACCTCCTTGGGCACAGAGGCAATCATTCAAGACACATTACAGGAGAATGACTGTCATAATGTGGATGAAACTGATTATGGCCTTCCCAGTATTGCCAAGGCAGCCCTTGAGGTCATCCGTCCACCATTTGAGACTGTTAATAATAGCTACCAACCTGCTGAGGTCGTTAGAGAGACCAGCCATCTAATTTCTGCATACACTTTTTCAGAAGAACAGGCATCTCTTGCTGCTACAATCGAGGACTGTCTGTTACCAGCTCAGGATAATGTTGAAGCCAGTCAGTTACAGGTTGCTGGTACTGAAGGTAGCTACCCACAAGCTGGGGTTGTAGTAGGTAGCCATTCACCAGTTGTTGCTTCTGAAATAAGTCGACAAACAACTGTTGACATTAGGGTTAATCAACCTCCAGTTACAGTTACTATGGCCAGCAGCTATCTACCAACTGAGGTTACTGAAGTTAATCATCATTTATCTGATGTTTGTGCAGATTTGCATCCATTGACTACAGTTACTGATATGATCTACTCACCAGCTAAACATACTGAGGTTAGCCAAGCACAAGCTACCACTACTGAAGTTAACCTCCCACCAGTTGATACTGAAGTTGGTGAGTCACCTGCTACTTCACTTGAAATTAGTTACCAACATTCTTCTGCCAGTGACGTCAGCCACACTACTGATACCACAAGTGAGGCCAGCTGCCCAAGTAGAGTTGGTAATGAAATCAGCTACCTACCCTCTCTGTTTTGTGAGACCACAGACACACACACTGCAGCTACACAAGTAGACCTCCCCAAAAGTTCTCTTGAAGTTAGCAGCCAACAGGTTACCACTGAAACATTCAATAGCCCATACAGTAATGCTGCTGATACTGAAGTCTGCCACCCACCAGCTGACACCACTGAAGTCTGTCACCCACCAGCTGACACTAATGAAGTCTGCCACCCACCATCTGAGACCACTGAAGACTGCCACCCACCATCTGAGACCACTGAAGACTGCCACCCACCATCTGAGCCCACTGAAGTCTGCCACCCACCAGCTGAGACCACTGAAGACTGCCACCATCTGAGCCCACTCTGGCCCACTGAAGACTGCCACCGAGCCCACTGAAGACCACTGAGACCACTGAAGACTGCCACCCACCATCTGAGCCCACTGAAGACTGCCACCCACCAGCTGAGACCACTGAAGTCTGCCATGCACCAGCTGAGACCACTGAAGTCTGCCACCCACCAACTGAGACCACTGAAGTCTGCCACCCACCAGCTGAGGCCGCTGAAGTCTGCCACCCACCAACTGAGACCACTGAAGTCTGCCACCCACCAGCTGAGACCACTGAAGTCTGCCACCCACCAGCTGAGACCACTGAAGTCTGCCACCCACCAACTGAGACCACTGAAGTCTGCCACCCACCAACTGAGACCACTGAAGTCTGCCACCCACCAGCTGAGGCCGCTGAATTCTGCCACCCACCAACTGAGACCACTGAAGTCTGCCACCCACCAGCTGAGACCACTGAAGTCTGCCACCCACCAACTGAGACCACTGAAGTCTGCCATGCACCAGCTGAGACCACTGAAGTCTGCCACCCACCAGCTGAGACCACTGAAGTCTGCCATGCACCAGCTGAGACCACTGAAGTCTGCCACCCACCAGCTGAAACCACTGAAATCTGCCACCCACCAACTGAGACCACTGAAGTCTGCCACCCACCAGCTGAGACCACTGAAGTCTGTCACCCACCAGCTGAAACCACTGAAGTCTGCCACCCACCAGCTGAGACCACTGAAGTCTGCCATGCACCAGCTGAGACCACTGAAGTCTGCCACCCATCAGCTGAAACCACTGAAGTCTGTCACCCACCAGCTGGGGTCACTGAAGTCAGCCACCCATCAGCAGAGGTCACTGAAGTCAGCCACCCATCAGCAGAGGTCACTGAAGTCAGCCACCCATCAACAGAGGTCACTGAAATTTGCCATCCATCAGCAAAGGTCACTGAAGTCAGCCACCCATCAGCAGGTACTACTGATTTCAGCCATACATCAGCTGAAGCTATTGAAGTCAGCCATACAATTGAGGCTACTGAAGTCAGCCATACAGCAGCTGAGGCTTCTAAAGTCAGCCAGCCATCAGCTGAAACTATTGAAATCAGGCATCTATCAGCTGAGGTCACTGAAATCAGTCATCTATCAGCCGAGGCTACTCAAGTCAGCCATCTATCAGCTGAGGCTACTCAAGTCAGCCAGCCATCAGCTGAAGCTACTGAAGTCAGATATCTATCAGCTGAGGCTACTGAAGTCAGCCAGCCATCAGCTGAAGCTATTGAAGTCAGCCAGCCATCAGCTGAAACTATTGAAGTCAACCAGCCATCAACTGAAGCTATTGAAGTCAGCCAGCCATCAGCTGAAGCTACTGAATTCAGGCATCCATCGGCTGAGGCTACTGAAGTCAACCATCCATTAGCTGAACCTACTGATGTCAGCCACTCATCAATTGAGAACACTGATGTCAGTCACCCATCAGTTGAGAACACTGATGTCAGTCACCCATCAGTTGAGAACACTGATGTCAGTCACCCATCAGTTGAGAACACTAATGTCAGTCACCCATCAGTTGAGAACACTGATGTCAGTCACCCATCAGTTGAGAACACTGATGTCAGTCACCCATCAGTTGAGAACACTGTTGTCGGTCACCCATCAACTGAGATCTCTGAAGTTAGTCACCTGTCTGCCAAAACCACTGAAGTCAGCCACCTAACACATTGTACCACTTCTGAATGCAGCCTTCCTCATTTTAATATTGCATATAAGGCCTTACACCAGGCAGTGGATGAGAGTACCGAGGTGATTCCTCCTGTACCTGATGTCACACAAGCTCTCACCCATCCAGTGGTTGATGTCACAGTTGGAGGCAGTATTTGCCACCCACAACACCCAGCCCAGGATGTAGACCACAGCTGGCCACCACTAGACACACCTGAAGAAAGACTGCAACAATCTGAAATCAGGGAAACAAGTGTAGTCAGTCATCCACCAGACAGGGCTGTTTCTGAAGTTGACCGTGTACAGGCTGAATCCATGCCAGGAGATGGTATTGAAATTCACCATCCAGTTGCTGAAGTAAAACGTCAAAATGCTTTCCCTGCTGAAATTAAACTAGCTGCAGAAGCTTCTCCTGAAATCAAACAACCAGTAGCTGAAGTCACTACTGAAGTCAGTCATCTGATAACTGAAGGCTTTCCAGATGACAGATGCCCAATAGCTGAAGACAGTTATCCAGTAGCTGAAATTACTACTGAAGTCGTGCATACAACTGGTGAAGCCACTGCTGAATTAAGTCATCCTTTACCTGAAATCTCAACTGGAGTCAGCTGCACATCATCTGAAACCCTTCCTGAAGTCACTCAAAAGGTTAAAGCTAACACTGAAGTTATTCATCCAGCAATTGAAGCCATTTCTGAATTCAGCTATCCAATGGTTGAAGCCAGTTCTGAAGTCAGCTATCCATCAGTTGAAGGCAGCTATCCAATGGTTGAAGCCAGTCCTGAAGTCAGCCATCCAGTGGTTAAAGCCAGTTCTGAAGTCAGCCATTCAGTGGTTGAAGCCAGTTCCAAAGGTAGCCATCCAGTAGTTGAAACCAGTTCAGAAGTCAGACACCAAACAGTTGAAGCCAGTCCTGAAATTGGCTATCCAACAGTTGAAGACAGTGAAACCACCAACCAAACATCTGAAACAAGTACTTCTGTTAGTGACTCAACAGGTGAAGACAAAACAGAAGTCAACCACTCATCTGTGTCAGCTAATCCTGAAGTCAGACACCTCCCCATTGAAGGCACTGTTGAAGGAATTCAAACACTAGGTGAAACAACAAGTGACACCATCCTTATGCTTGATAACACCATGGCAGAAGGAAGTCTCCTGCATGCTGAAACCTATGGAGAAATCAGCCGGCAACTCCTTGAAACCACTTTGGAAACCAGCCACCCACCTATTAATGTCATTGAGCAGGACAGTCAAAAACTCCCTCAAATTACCACTGAAGCGGGTCACCAGCCTGTTGGAGCCACTGCATCTTCACTTAACTGTCTTGATGGTGTAGAGGCAATTTCCTTGACAGACCTATCCACCAATGTTAATGTCCAGCCAGAAATTAGTCAGAGCCAGGTGGGGCTGACAGCTGTTGATGAAACAACAGAAAAACTTGTACAGCCACTTTATGTGGAGGAGCAACATTTGGATGAAAATGTACATAGTGATCCTAGTGGGGCTGTCGGCAATCCTGTTTCTGCTGCAGAAAGTGACTCAAAACTGTGGAGTATAATAGAAAGTGGAGCTACCAAATATGACAACATGGAAAATAAGGAAGTACCTCCTAGATTAAAGTCCTCTGACTCTGAAATGAATGATCACACAACCCAAGGCACTTCACATGTAGAGGAGACTCATGACATTGCAGGTGACAAAGAAAGTAATGTGTTATTGCAATTAGCACCAGTGAAAGAAGAGGTGCAACATTCATTTGAAGACACAGTGAACTTTTCACAAATGGATGATATTAGTTCTGGAGTGTCATCTTGTGTTGATGACATATTGCCAGTCCTAACAGATGTTGGTATTGGAGGACGAACAGACGTGGCGGACCATGTTTCACCTTCCAGTATTGCTCCTGTTGGAGAAGAACAAGTTTTAACTGATACACCAGATGATAAGATTACAGTAGGAGATTGTAACCCTCAGCAGTTGGTGGTTTTAGAGACAAAATGCCCATTATGCAATGAGACGCTGCATGAATCATTAGAGAAACACCTCTCCAAATATCATATATGCAACACATTTGTGCCAGCAAAGGCAACTGGGGAATATCAGTTCCATATGCTAAAAAGAGTGAAAGATGTTAATGAACTAACTGAACCATTGAGTACAGATTCTTTGGAAGATAATTCATACGTGTGTCGGTCGTGCCCTTTTGCATCTCAGGACATCAATGCTGTGAGATTTCATTTAAATACTCATGAAGATGTGTATCAAGTAAGACCGGGTTATGAATCGTGTGAATGTAATGAAAAAAAATATTCATATCCTTTCCACAAATGGAAAACATTAATACATAATAGCAGTTATCATTGTTTTAAATGCAATTATTACTTTGCATGTGAGAAAGGATTTTCCAATCACTTACAAGCTATGCACTTTATACAAAATTGTTGTAGTATATGTAAAGAGGAAGTGCCATGTGAAAGCATGATTCCTCATTTTGGTTATCACAAAACTGAGGAGAAAACTTCTTCAGCTGGAGAAGCTTTAGACCTGCAAAATCCTTCCATTGTGACACGATCTTCAGGAGGGAATTTTGGCATATCTTGGAATATATATGACAATTGCATTAACTTTTTGGATGGTAAAAATTTTCACTTGAATACTGCTTCTACAGTGTGTGACACAAACCTTGACCGTAGCTACCTGAAACTTCCTCTAAAAAATGTAATGGAAGAAGCAGTAGTACCTGATGAGGCAAAAATTGATCCTGGAAAGGATATTGTCAAATATATGAGGGGGAAAAAGAATATAAAGCCATGTTTTGATGATGATAATGATGAAATTATAAAGAACTTTAGTTTTTTCATACAAATGGAACTTCAAAAGAAAATGAATAAGAAAGGACGCAAAGGGAACAGTAGCAATCCTCGAGCTAAACGAGAAGACAATCTGTTTGATGTCTTGGGCATTTCTTCATTAAGATCAAAAGGAGTGCAAAAGAAAGAAGCTGTGAATCCTTCTAGCAAGCAAAATTCTTTGAAAAAATTAAAAGGAAAATCAGACGACGAGACTAAAAAAGAAAAGGAACCTGAAGACCCAGAGGTTCCCCAACAGTTGACCCGCACGAGGTCTGGTATGCAGTCAGGTAGATGGGACCAGGAGGAGAGAATTGGAGAAGAAAAACCTGTGCCAGTTGAACCAAGTGTTGTAGTAGATGGAGAGTGGTCCAAGGCTCACACATACATCTGCTGTTCTTGTGGTGCTGGTTATTTGGATCTAGCTGATATTATGGACCATAAGTGGGAAATGCACCCAGCAGTGTGGTGTGCACATACGATGATACAGGGACAAGGTGTTGTACCAGTTAGCTTCTGTAAGCAGTATCGGCCTCCTACTAATCAGCCCCACCACTTACCATTACCTTGTTTTTCCAAGGACCAAACTGTATCCAGCACAATAAATTCTGATACAAATGTCTCTGAGACAGCAGAGGTGAAGGATCAAAAGACCTGTAGTACTTGTAAAATGCAGTTCCAGGACACCAGTGTCTTTCATGCCCATTTAGTTGAATGTGGTGGCCTCACTCTGTTGTCAACCTCTAAGAAGAAGAGCAAAAAGGGCTTCAGGTAAGATCAAATGCTTTTACCCGGTAGTCACTTTTTTTGGAAGCTAACTTATTCTCAAAATGAAACTATTTATAAAGCATCTCCAATTTCTGTTGGCTAGATCAGATTATCTGTGTGAAACCTCCCCATTTGTGTATCCATGTAAGGGGTACTCTTTATTGTCATCTAGAATCATAATATTTTTTCTGGTGTTTTCTCCTCATGACTCCTTTATCTGAATCTCACTATATTGTACTGTACAGTATTCTGATATCACTCATTTTCCTTGCATGTTTTTCCGTCATATTTTGTCTTTGCAGTATTTTTGCATTCTCTGTTTCCTTAATAATGTCCTTCCCCAACCAATATCTCCTTTGTGTTTGAACACTCATCATTTATTTTATTACTGTACTCCAAAATTCATATATGTACATTGTACAGTGCTCATACTGGGTCTGTAGTTAGGTACCCTAATAGTTACTTGTACTATATATACTTTTCTGCTAACCTGGGGTTGTCAGTGCTACTAAATGCTAGGATATTTAACCTTCTCATTGTCTGATGACAAAACTTTTATCATCCAATGAGCTGTATGCTATGTTATGGTTATTTTTAACTCATATTTTATGGTAGATATATGCAATTTTCTTCAAATTTTTATTACCAAGTTACATGTACAGACCATTCTACCTACAGAATGTGCAAAAAAAAAAATAATTACTATCAGGTTAAAAACATAGGGGGAATGAACATTTCTTTGTGTGCTAGAGTTAGTACGCTGAGCCCCTTGCTTAGCAGAGTATGGGATCTTAGCCATTCTAAGCTGTCTCCCATGTGTAGTGAAACGGATGACAAATATTTTGTCATCCAGCAATGAGCATGGTAATCAGCAGGTGAAAATAAACTAAGGATGTCTGACCGTCAGGTGATCTGTTTAATATAATTTGGTAACTATTACTGCAGTGGAGTACTGTTCTGTACAGATTATTATTATTCCATGTGGCCTAAGTATCAGGGTCTCCCAATTAAGAGTTTGTAATCTTCAGGTTTAAGAGACGTAAAGGCCAGGGGGTCCCCAACAACCGATATGGCAACAACTCCCAGCCCAGTACTCCCCTCAAGGCCAAGTCTGGCGACAGTAAGTTTTCACCACATTTTAGCATTATACTGCATTGAGTTTTGTGGTTATCTCTTATTTTATATATACATACACAGTGGTCCCTTGGTAAACGAACACAATTCGTTCTACAGAGTCGTTCATTAACTGAAAATTTTGTAAACCGAATCTATTACTTCAGTGGGATATTGGGTAATTGGTTCCAACTCACAGAAAAAGTATTGTATATCGTTAATAGAATTCACAAAACATTATATAAACGAAATACAGTGGTCCCTCGGTTAACGAGTGCCTCAGTTAACGAGATTTCGGTGAACGAGTTACCTTCCATAAGATTCTTAACTTCGGTTAACGAGCAATCCCTCGATTAACGAGTTTCTTACGAGCCAACCTGGTCATGATTTCACTTGCATTTGGCGGTCCACCAGCTGTAGTATTAGTCCGCCAATACAGTAATCGGTTCTAGGGCTTAAATTCCTTACCATTTTAGCAAATATCAAGAAGTTTATACTATTCAATAATTTTAACAGTTTAATATTAAATTTTTTACTCATTTTAACAATTATTGAACATAATTGAAGGTAATGAAACTAGTTTTATGCGTGCCATCCAGCCTCTCAACACACCATACAGGCGTCAGTCTTTGTATCTTTTCAGTGGAGGTAACATCTTGCTTGAGACTCTTCAACTAAATGCTTTTTTTCTGTTTTTGCAAGCAAATTATTGGTCATTTTGAAATTTATTTTACATATTGACAATATATAATGCAGTGCAGTGTTGATTTAAAGAAAATAATCTTGAATTGCACCAAGAGAACTAAAATTTTATGGGTGAAATGGCGCCATGGGGTGACTTCTCTTCCACCCCAATGCCTTCTCTTCTTTCTCCAGGAGCCTTCTACATACACCTCAAAGTAAGTGTACTTTTCTACCTTTTTTGTTGAAACCCATTGAAACAATGGACGTTAACGAGCAACCTTTAGAACGGATTTCTCGGGACCAGGCACAGTAGGTGAGTGGTTCTCTAACAACGGTCAGAAGGTGTTCGTTGTTCCAAAATTTCGGACCGAAACCATTGTTTCAATGGGATTTTGGGTAATTGGTTCCAGCTCTCACCGAAAATTACATACAAAGTAAAAATAAATGCAGTAAAGTACACTTACTTTGAGGTGTGTATGTAGAAGGCTCCTGGTTGATGATGATGATGATGATGGGAATTAGAAGTGGGGGTGGAGGAGAAGGGAGAAGAGAAGGAAGTGGGGGTGGAAGAGAAATCACCCCATGCTTCATGCCGTCATTTCACCCATAAAATTTTAAGTTCACTAGGTGTAATTCAAGATTATTTTCCTTAAATTAACACTGCACTGCACTATATATTGTAAATATGTAAAATAAATTTCAGAATGACCAATAATTGTCCTGTAAAAATGTAAAAATAGTTTATGTTCAAGAGAGTCTCAAGCAAGATGTTACCTCTACTGACCAGAGATACAAACTGATACCTGTTTGGTGAGTTGAGTGGCTGTTTGGCAGACTAAAAACTAGTTTCCTGTACTTCAATTATGTTAAATAATTGTTAAAATGACTAAAAATTTTAATATAAAACTTGGAAAATTATTGAATAGTACACCCTTCTTGATATTTACTCAAATGGGAACGAATTTAACCCCTAGAACTGATTACTGTATTGGCGGACTAATATTCCAGCTGGTGAGCAAGCGAAAACATGTTGAGAGGAATTCGCTAACCGAATTGAATATTCTTATGGAAGGTAATTCGTTAACCGAAATTTCGTTAACTGAGGGACCACTGTACAATAATAAATAAAAAAACATATAATACTGTATTTTAACTTACTTTGAGGTGTGTATGTCGTATTACTGGCAGCTTTGTTTACATATCAAACAGCTGATTGCAGAGGCAGTCGATGATGACATGCCATATTCTTTACAGAGTGCATTGGCTCTAATGCCGTCTTCATGCTTCATAATAATTTCTGCACTGTATATTATCAATATGTTAACTAAATTTCAGAATGACCAATAATTCTAATATAAAAAATGCTGAAATATTCAAGAGACCAACTTTCTTAATATTTACTTCACTGGAAACGAATGTTTGGCGGACTAGCCGATCACCTGATGCGCACAACATAACGTGTTTGTTGTAAGGATTTTGTTAATCGAAGTTTTGTTTGTTAATCGAACTGAAAATCCTTATGGGAGCTAATTTGTAAACCGAAATTTCGTTAATCGAACCGTTCGTTAACCGAGGGACCACTGCATATGGTCTCAGCATTTATTAAAAAATAACTTGGGAAATGCCGAGTTATATAAAATAATCTGGGAAAATCTCGGCATATTTGGCCATGTGGGTAACACTCACTGCATCGCACTCCATGCTTGGTCAGTCTGGTGTTTGTTATTGTTGTGGTCAGGTGTGTCCTAGCTCACTCCACCCAGTACTTACATGTAGGAAGGGAAGGTGCTGTAGCACCCTACTATTTTGGGTATAAAGCACCACAGAGTATCTAGGGCACCAGAATTAATATTCAGCACTCCCTGGTAAAATTTGGTTCCTGTGGTACTAATCCATTAACACCCAACAACGTCCTCCATTTATGTCAGGCCGGCCACTGTAAGCAGAATGTCTCCACTATTACGGTATACAGTATATCATTACGCCATATATTTTTCTCATATTTATTAGTTAATAAAATTCTTAAGAATTTTGTGTTTCTCTCAAGTACCAAACTAAATTATTCCATTGAAATAACACTTTGATTTAGTGTGAATTTGATTTAAAGCGACCTCTCCTGGAATGTATTTTGTGTTATATCGATGTTCTACTGTATACTCTTGTTAATTCTGATCATTATAATTAGGGTTTTGGCTCAATTTGTATTATTATTTTTTTATGAATTCAGATTTGAATTTGGAATTAATCCTAAGTAATGGAACGGTTCCAAAAAGTCACATGGTGCCAAGCTTGAAAATTCAGGCCTGTCGCTTCTCGTCAATTCTGACCACGTGGCATCCTGGGCGGGCTTGAAATTTCAGTCTCATTGATTCATCTATGCTCTCGCCACTCCCCAAGCAGGCTTGGGTCATGCTGCTATTATGTAAGAGCGTGTCACTAGCACAAGCGCTAAGTTACGTGCTGTTGCCACCTCATCAGTCGAATTGTTTAGTTCTTTAAAGCAGAAGTTTTCAAGTTTTCAAGTAATATTGTTAATTGTGTTGATGGAAATAAAAATCTAAAAGATTTGCGAGATTTTGGGTGAGAAAATTAATGCAGCTTGTGATAAAACTGCACATAAACTATTAATGCATCATGACTGCCCCTATGTCTGGCAGCACCCAGTTGTTTACTACCCGTGCAGCATGCATGTTGGATGCTTGCATTCTCCCTGGATTTATATATCATCTGCATATTATCACCTCACCTTAAAATGTAAATGTTACAGTTATTTATCACTGTACTATTTACTTTATTATTACTTTATGTACATTAATAAAATATTTGTTTGCACAGTACACTGTAATTATAGATGGAATATTTTATGTGGCAGCCAAGGCATGGTAACTGAGTATGTTTGTTGGTTGGAGTAATGAGGAACAATCTTCAGAATGATCTGAATAAAGTGCAAAAACAGAACAGAAAACAAATGAATAATCAAACACAAAAATTTGAAAATTGTTGAATAATGTCAAAACATTCTGAACTCGGTTACTTCTCATTTTTTGGTAATTCAGGAGGCTCAGAGCCCCTTTTTTGTTGAATTAATGTGGGGGTAGTGTACAGTAAGCATTTAGAATATTCAAATTTTTCATGATGCAACATAGATACTAATTTTATGTTGTCGGGCTCCGAGTCCATCATAATACGTAGTCTGTAACAAAGAATTATCCCAATACAATTTAATGAAATTACCTCAATACAGTGACCCCTCGGTTAACGAACTCAATCCGTTCCAGAAGGTCGTTCGTTAACCGAAAAGTTCGTTAACCAAAACCATTGTTTCAATGGGTTTTTGGGTAATTGGTTCCAGCTCACCGAAAATTTCCTAAATTCAACAAAAATGGTAGAAAAGTTCTCTTACTTTGAGGTGTGTATGTAGAAAGCTCCTGGATGATGATGATGATGATGATGATGGGATTTAGAATGGGGGTGGAGGAGAAGGAAGAAGAGAAGGCATTGGGGTGGAAGAGAAGTCACCCCATGGCACCATTTCACCCATAAAATTTTAGCTCTCTTGGTGTAATTCAAGATTATTTTCTTTAAATCAACACTGCACTGCATTATATATTGTCAATATGTAAAATATATTTCAAAATGACCAATAATTTGCTTGGAAACACAGAAAACAAGCATTTAGTTGAAGAGAGTCTCAAGCAAGATGTTACCTCCAGTGAAAACAGAGAGAGACTAACGCCTGTTTGCTGTGTTAAGAGGCTGGATGCCGCGCATTAAACCAGTCATTTTACCTTCAATTATGTTCAATAATTGTTAAAATGACTAAAAAATTGAATATTAAACTTTTAAAATTATTGAATAGTATAAACTTCTTGATATTTACTAAAATAGTAAGGAATTTAAGCCCTAGAACCGATTAATTTATTGGCGGACTGATACTAAAGCTGGTTGCCTGGTCAGTGCAAGCGAAAACATGTTGAAGTCGGTTCGTAAGAAATCGTTAACCGAATTGAAGATCCTTATGGAAGGCAGTTCGTTAACCGAAATTTCGTTAACCGAGGCGTTTGTTAAACGAGGGGTCACTGTATTGCCTCAATTTATTTATTATTATTTTTTTTGTACATTAACCCTTTCAATGCGATTGCCGCACTCTATGCAGTAAAAAATGTCAGTGCAATTGCCGCACTGTATATGGTAATAATTTTTGCACCCATAGTTTGAAACTATTTGTCAGATAGACTAATCCTGTTTGATCAACTGGCATGTAAGGAGGTGGCCACGAGACCCGACCCACAAATTACCTCTATGCCTGCCAGTGTCTTCTCAGTCAGGGCCAGTAACAGACGTGCATTCGGGTTAGATTACCTGAATACAGTACCGCTAATTCCCTATCCAGGTAATCCCACCTGACTATGACAGTGTCAGATATAACATTATTGTGTATAAGCTCCTCTGTCAGTTACTGTAAATTCACTTAACTCTGAAGATGAAAAAAAATGTGTTTGCTTGTTCTGTATTTACGGCATATAAGATGCACTTAAAAAATGGCTATAAAAATCACTGTGTTCAGTTTGTGAAGTAGCAGGTCTCCTGCAGGCTGATGAATCCCCCATGCTGTCTCCAGTAGCCTAACTCCCGAATAAAGATTTTATTGTTTACTTAAATATATTATTATTATTATTACGGTACATCATCATCATTACTTTTAATTAATTAAAAGAGGAATTACAGTATATTGTAAATATTAAAGCTGGATAACCCCGAGATGATAATCGTGTTTACGGCACACAACTTTTCCCAACTGATCAGTAACTGTTTCTGAACTCTTGCAAGCATTACTACAGTATATATAAATGTCATACCTGCCACATTTATTTATAATTTTTATTATAAATCATCCTTTAGCTTTTGAAAGAAATGCCAATAGCCATCACCATGTAATGCCATCTATTGGTGTACAACGAAGATGAGTATTCAGTTGCCATTTGGGGTCTTTGCGGTGCTTACCGTAGGATGGACATTAGTACAACGAGTAGTGATCATAACAACAATTTGGTAATAACATATCAACAAGGATGGTGTCAAAACTATAATTTTATGGTATTTTAGCCTCATTTTAAGAGCACTGTGGGGGGGTATTATTGTTGAAAATTTATTTCATTTATACACTTACTGCATCATGTTCCATATTAATAGGAGAAAACATTAAATACTTAAATACAGTAGGCCCTTCAAATTTGCGGGGGTTGGGTTCTCAAAATGGCCGCGAATCGCCAAATCCGCAAATAACATTTGCTGAACTTGGGGGTGGGGGGGGGGTACATTTTTACTTGTGAACAAAGAAATGTATATTCCTTTTATGTGTTTGCCCTCAGGACAATTATTTCTTTTACCTGTACACCTGTATTGTATATGTGTGTGTGTGTGTGTGTGTGTGTAGACACACACACACAAATACTGTACCTGTATATACAATACAGGTAAAGGAAATTACTGTCCCTAGAACAAATGGCTCCCTGTCCCAGCCGCAAAAATGCCGGCAACTTTAAAACTACCCACAGACATTCTTGGTGACATCCGCGAATAATAGAGGACCGCGAAATAAAAATCCGCAAATTTTCCGGGCATACTGTATACTAAACAGTTCTTTTCCTAAATATTCCCTGCTGAAATGAGGCTATGTCTCATGTGACATAAAATATGGTATACGTAGTTGTGTGTGTCAAATATACTGTATTTTTTGTTTTGTTTTTACAATGCATGACACATCTTTGGAAGGTCTTTTATTTTTCAACTTTTCCTTCGCACTGGGTGTACAGCTGTCTATTCGGGATTCACAGAGAAAGGGTTAAAACGGCAAACTGTCTAAAATTGTCTGTACATATTATAGTTGTGTTTAGAGAAATATTGAATGTTCATTTGAAAATATAAATGTTTTTTTTACAATATATTTTAAGATACATAAGAAAATATTCAAATCATGTGTGGTCATCTAGAGCCTACTAGATAGTGTACATAGAGATGCTTGTAGCAAAAGTTGTTTACTATATTTCCGTAAAAATTGCCCTAAATCATGCATAATGGGTAGAAAAAAGTTGCCAGTGATTAGCCAAGCATACCTTTATCAAGTAACAGTGTAATGGTGTTATTTTAGAGATGAAATTAAACATTATTAAATGAAATATGCATGAAGGGACAGTAGTTGAATGGTTGTGAGAGAGAAAACATATGCAACCATCTCAATAAATCACTCATATCCACAGCATTATGCTATATGCTTTCTTATGGTTGTTATTTGCTTATTGTTTTCAAGTCATAAGAATAGTCACATTTGTTGTTTTGTTAATCTTTTGTATACCATATTTACATAATGGCCATCCAAGCTATAGGCAGGCCATGTATAGAGAGAAATAATTTGGTCAGGTGAATGGTTAGGTTAGCCACTGGGAAAGTTTTACTGTCGCATTCTCTTAAGGAAACATGTGACTGTCTCTTAAGATGAAGTACAGTACTGGTAATAAGTGTTCTTTTAAGTTTACAGCAAATTTCTTTTCTTTATTCATATATAAAACACATCACAGTTTATAGATGAATGCTGCCTTCATATGCTTCCACAATCTTCTGTCTGGAGCCTTTTCTGCTTATTAATCTCTTGGAAACTTTTTAGTGTCATCTACAGGGCCGGATTTACCAATAGGCCATTGGCCTAGGGCCCACCGGTATCTGGGGGCCCACTGAAACTAATTTGTCGCTCAGCGTGCCAGTGTATAACCTTGTTTCAAGTGTACACCGAGTATTTCATTATATAATATATTCACAACCATAAGGGCCCCTGTACAATAAGTATAGGCCTGCAGTGGTCTTCAACTGGTGGATCATGGCCCACTGGTGGGCCATGGGGTGGTTCTCAGGTGGGCCACAGACTAGGCCCGATAGTAAAATGAAGAAAATAAGATAAAATAAGATAATAAAAAATACATATATATATATATATACATTTTTTAAATGTCCGTGTCCCACCGTCGATCTATCTATATCTATACCTTGTACATACATATATACTGGAGAGAGAGAGAGAGAGAGACAGAGAGAAAGAGAATAAAGTTCAAGAAACCTTCAGCGCCTTGACGTGTGAAGGACAGGATCGTTTCACGTTCAGTACGTGTCAGGGTTACCGTTGGTTTGCTGACAGCTCGCTCAGCCAGTCAGTATCTTCTATAAATTTGGGGGCCCACTGATGAGTTTGGCCTGGGGCCCACAGTAGGTAAATCCGGCCCTGGTCATCTACGTATATAATAATATTTACTGTAGGATCCATTTGGGGATCTTCTTCATCCACTGTGTATCTGTTGTTTGTGCTGTCTGACCTACCTACTTTAAAAAACCATAACCAGTGAAAAATGAAATATTACACAGTATTATGCTTTCAGGGTCATCTGGCCTCAGCACCCCTCAAAATGACCGGACATCTACAACCTCCATCCATTCTTGTGGAGTGAAGAGGCGCCTGGAGCTGGCAGTGGGCTCTATTGATAACCTGGAGCTGAAGAACCGACTCAAGGCCATAATTACAGGATCCCGAGGTTCCGGTAGTAACACGTTTAGACTTCCCGGTAGACGCACTGTGAGGATGAAGCTGAGGAAAAAGGCATTAGAGACCAGAAGACTGAGGAAGACTAGACATAGTGATAGAGTTAAAGAAAATTTTAGTATTAAAGAAGAAGAGAAAAGGGAGTATATGAAAAATGTCGGTAAGAGTGAAAAAGACACTAAAAGTGAAGTCGAAGGAACTCAAAACAGTGAAGAATTACAAGTAGGAAAAAAGAGTAGTGTAAAGAAAGTTAGTTTAGATAGTGTTAAAGAATCTAAAGCTAGTGGCACTACTGATGATGAGCCCACAGTTAAAGAGAAATCTAAGAAAAATGTTAAAAAAGTTGCTACAAGTGTAAGTGTTCATGAAAATATAGCAGAGAGTGTGGTAAGCAAGCCATATGGTGTGCCTGTCTCAGGAGTTGATATTATTGTTAGTGATGTAAAGAGCAGCAAGAAAAAGACAAAGCAGGAAGAAGGTGATAAACAAGGTTCTCACACTGGCAAGAAGTCACAGACAGAAAAGAAAATTAATGGAGTTATCGACAAAATAAAGAAAACCAAGAAGCAAAAAGAAAATATTAGCAACGAAACACAGCCTCATAAAAAAATTAGTGGAGTTAAATTGAAGCAGCCACCAGCCAAGAAAGTGTGCAGTAAAGCTATTAAGAATGTCCCTTCTACAAAAGCTATTGAAAATTATGCAAAGCAGAATGGAATCAAGTCCTCAGGACCAATGGAAAAGGAGGGAATGGTCAAGAAAGACAAAGCTGTTACGGGAAAACAGAGCATTGGTAAAAAGAGCATTGGAACAAAAATCAAGTCGGTATTAAGTAAAAATATTGGAATGATAGAGAAACCTGGGGATAAAAAGCCTCCAAAGAAAGTGAGTGGTAAAACTAGAAAGTCCATTGACTCAGAATCTGGGCGTGAGGGGGAGAATGTTGACCTGCAGGCACCTGGAGGCCTTCTTAAAAGTTTAGTGGTAGAAAAAAAGTCAAGGCCTAAGAAAATTAAAGATATACCAGCACCAGTAGTTAATCCAGGGTTGGACACAAAAGAGGCTGAGGTGGAGAAAAAGAATTTAGAGGCAATGAAAAGCACAGAGGTTCATCAGTTTATAAAAACTGAAGTGGACCTATTTGAAGATGAAACACTAAGTCTTCCCCAAGGAACAAAGTCTAACATACAAGAAGTTCCTGAAGTTAAGGAGATGGAAATAAAAGAAATGGTGGTTAGTCAGTTACCAAAGACAAGGAAACAAGTTTATTATTCCTCTAGTGAAGACAGTGAGGATTCTGATGACTCTGAGCCCGAAGTGATTCGGAATTTCCGGAGTGGAAGGCGTTGTGGGGGAAGGATGGGACTAAGGAACAAGAGAATTCCAATAAATACTCGCTACTCATTCCGTACTTGCTTTTCTTCAGGCAAAAAAGAGGATGACAACTCTGATTTAGATGACGTAGATGATATAAAGCAAAAAAAAGTAGATTACTTGGAGAAGGAAGAAGAAGAGTTTTCAGAAGAGTTACCAATCACATCAAAAAGAAAAAGAAAAGTTGCCAACTATGAGAATCAAGATGACTATACATATGTTCCCTTTGAGAGTTCATCTGAAACCGAGGATGATGTGTCTGAGAAGGAGGTGGATAGCATTGTAGAAAGAGTTCCTTGGTCTCCCAGGAAAAAGAGAAAAGGCACAAGAAGCAACACCAGAGAGAGTAGTACTCCTCTGACAGATACACTATACAGTGAAGACAGTTGTTCAGAAGAGAAGCTGGAGGAGGAGGTGGAACTTGAAGACCCTGGTAATGATAAAGAGACAAATGTGCCCTTTTTGTCTGTCCCAAGTAGTGATACTATAGACAATGAAGTAAAAATTACAAAGGGAAAAAACAATGACAACATGATGAATACTGATAGTGAAAATGTTGAGGGGAAAGAAGACAGCATTGAAAGTGAAGTAAAATTACCAAAGATGAAAGAAAATATGAAGTCTTTGAATATTTCTAGTGTTAACCTTGAGGGGAAAGAAGACAAAACTGTGAACAAAGTGTCAAAGAAAAAGAAAAGTGCGACTTTACCTGATCAGTTGTCTTCTAGTACTACTGTACTGGAAGAAGAACCAGGTATTGTTGGGAAACTTCAGAAGAAAAAGAAAGGTGTTAAGCAGGTGCAACCAAAAGTGTATGTTGAAAAGGCTAAGGAAGAGTGTCAAGAAATGATTGCAAAATCTCTAGTTAAAGATGAAATTGTGACTCAAATGCTTCTAGGAGTTGAAGAATCTGTTCAGAAGCAGAAGTGTGTTACCTTACAGAATACTTCCAGTGTGGCTCTGCAAACAGATGGTTATCTCCATACAGAGAAAATACAAAAGAAAAGGACTGTAAAATCGCAAGAGGGTTATAGTGAAGCACTGCAGACTAGTGTACAAGTAACATCAGTACCAGGGCTGCCAAGTAATTCACAAGTAATGGCTCTTCCAGTCTCTAAGAAAAAGAACATGACGTTAAATACAATGTTAGCTCCAGCGGGTGAGGAGTCTACCCTTGAAGTTGAAAATATTGTTGGGAAAGTGACAAAGAAAAAGAAACCACCAAAGTCTCACTCATCAGCTAATGCCATTCTTCAACACCCACTTGATGACCTCAAAGGAAAAATGGTTGAAGATAGCTCAGTGACTTTACCTTCAACAGCAAAAAGAAAAAAGAAAAAGAAAATTATTCCTGCAGTTTTGGATTCTTTCAGTCAGGACACAAATAATGTTAAGAATCTTTCACTAAATATAACTGATGATGATGATGATGAAGATGATCTTCCACTCTCCGCTCTTGCTCTACAAAGCAATAATAAGAAAAAAGCAGCATCAAACACAAGGAAAAGCAACAAAGGTTCAACACGAGATGTTGGACTACAAAAATTAAAGAAACCCTTACTGAAGGGGAAAACAGTTTTAACAGCAAAAAATCAAGATTCGTTGATAAAGGAATCAGTTGGTCATGATTCTGAATCTTCAAGTTTTGAAGGGTTTGTCCCACTGCCTGCTAAGAAGACTGGTAGAAGTAAAACAACAGTTAAAAAACCAAGGAAGAAATTAGATCTGATGAAATCAATAATAGAAATGAATACAGGTAGCACTGCTAGTGAATCAGAATTGTCAGATGTACCTAAACCACCGAAGAAGCTGAAAAAAATACCCTTAACCACCTCTGACAAAGATACTGAAAAGGATGTAAGTATGCCAAGTTTAATTAAAGTTTCAAAAGTAAAAGGTATAGACCATGAAAATTGTCACTTGAATCATCAGCCCAAAGAGAAAGGAACAACCCAGAAGAGAATAAGAGCCAAACAAGTGCTGAAACCTTCTCTCCAACAAAACCATGATAGTTCAGAGGGTAAGACAAAAGTGGCTAAGTCCTCTAAAACAACTGCCAATTCTTTAATACCTAACACAATGCCAGTTTTAGAACCAATGAATATTTTTAAGCCAGATATAGGAGGCACCTCAGATCTTCCTGAGAGTGATATTAATGGTGAAGGAGGTGTGACCCTCTCCCAGCAAGTGCCTGCTAAGATCAAGCGACGTCGATCATCAGTCGAGAAAATAAAAGACATTCCCACCAGGTCATCTGTGCTAGTGCAGCTGCAAGAAACTCAGTCTCCACCAGAGTTAAGATTAATGACTGATGAAGTCCAAGGTGAGGATGTTGGTATATCATCACTGAATACCGAACAACAGTTGCCTCCTTCAAAAGGTAGACCCAAGAAGCCTCCACAGCCAAGAAAGAGGAGAATTAAGTCAACGCAAGAAATCTTGTTGAAAACTAAATCATTTGGCATGCCAGATCCACCACCAGAAGTTATTGCTGCAAGTGAAGTAAAAGAATTGAGAGTCAGTGCATCACAAAAGAAGCCAGAAAAAAGAAAAAGAGCGGCATCAACATCCGGAGTGCCATCCAAAGACGTACATGAGTTGGCCAATCCAGTAAAAAACGTTGGTCAACCACTTGTTAATCTTAGTAACCCGCCAAAAAAGAATTGTGAAAGTAATAAAAGAAAGAAAAGTGGAAGTAATAACAAAATGGAAATTAATGAACTTATGTGTATTGATTGTGGATTAAGGTTTGGGTCTGTTGCCTCACTAGAAGATCACCAGCAGGATTGTGTTACTATTGCCTTTGAGATGAGTCTTATGGAAGCAGAAGACCATCTTTTTGAGTGTCCACACTGCCATTTAACTTTTGCCCTGAAAGGTACCCAGCGAAAACACACAACTTCATGCCGTTTGGTCAAGTATAAGCGAGCATCAAATCGACAGGATAGCCGATCACTAAAGAAAGCAAGTAGAAATTCAGTTCCTCTTGATACTCGCCTTCCTGAGAAAGTGGTTGATAGCAGTGATATAATATTAATTGCCGAAACACCTCCACGCAAGGCTGTTGTGACAGGTCGTAGAAGTAGCAAGGAAAATGTTGCCGGTGATGAAGACGTGGCCTCTACTTCCCCACTAAAGGATGGTGGTGTGACATCATTTTCAGATCATACTGAGAAAATTGATGCAGATTTGAGTGAAAGTAAATTGAAAGAAAATGTAAAAAATGTTGGTAATATACAAAAAGTAGTGCCTATAACTGCAAGAGGTAGTCCAAGAACCAAAAAAGAATCTCAGGTCAATGGGAGGTTAGTGAATGGTGAATTATTTGATTTTCCTCCTGCAAAAGTTGATGTTAATCAGCGGTGTTCCATTTGTGAATACGAAGTTACTGATCAAGATACGTCAAAAAAACATCACTTATTGCAACAGTTTGCTCACCGCTGCCAGCAGCAGGCAGTGCTTGAGGTGTGTGCATTGGTCACTTACTACAACCTAGGTATTGAATCGGTTAGGTCATTGGTATCGTCTGCAACTATGTATCAAGGGTCAACCATACTCCACCTCGATGCAAAACAACAGGAATCCATTAATGCTAGTCCCATCTCAACAAATTCCTCCAGCAGTAGTGCCATAAAGCTACAAGAGATTTTAGCTTCCCCACACTGCACAAGGATGTCATCTGTTTTGGAGACAATAGCCAAACATCATCAGACCACAGAAAGTATTAGCATTAGTGGCACCCGTCAAGAAGCCTTAAAAGCAGTCTCAGCATTGGAGGAGATACTGAAAGAAATGTCTGAAGTTGATAGTGCCATTAGGAAGAATTATATGCTCAAGTCTATGAGAGAAACTTTTGAAGCAGGGATTTTAAACTGAATGATCATAAAGATGAGATAACTGATAGTCAGTATAAAGGTTGTGACTGGTTAATAATTATTTTATTTCATTACATGCAATAATATTGACAGGCTGTAAGTGGGTGAATGGTGGCACCATACAGCAAGTCGTGGGCATTTTTGTGAATATCACAATATAGGTTTATTTTTCAAAGGACCAGTACTGTACATTGTATGTGATGGAAGAGAATTAAAATTGTAAATTACTTGTTATTGTGAATGTTACATTTCACAATAATTCTCATAAAACTCTGGGCAGTATCTTTGAGTTAGGAGTTTCCAGTTTGTATCTACAGTTTAGTTGAATTTGAAGAAAAATCAAAATATTTATTGTAGACTGACCTAAAGTTGTATAATATATTAGTGTGTATATTTGTTATTGTTAGTCTAGAATGAATAATTGAGATTTAAATCTTTCTGGGAACATAAATGACATAAAATAGGGTTCTAGAAAATTAGGGACTGGGCTCAAGTTGCTCATACTGGCTCTTGCACTAAGTTTCATTTGTTAATTTTGTAGAAAACTTATTCTTTCTATTTATTCATATTATTTATAATGATTGATTTTACAACAGTTGAATTTCAAAGGGAATTTTGCCTAAGTTCTGTTCACAGAATTTTGCAAATGTTAGCAAACAGTTCCCAATACACCCCTAGGAATTCTCGAGTTAGTAATTTTGTGTGTTATTTGTGGTTGCTCTCTGCTTGGAGGTAATGTCCTGTATGCAGTATTGCATTATAGTTCTATAGTGAAATGTGGCATCCTCACAAATGTGCATATTAAGGATTTGTGAACTATGTAATTTTGGATCCAGTAATATGGATATATTTCTATCAAAACCTGCTTAGATGTAGAAATTTGTTATTGTAGGAATTATTTTAGATATTGTATCTAAATGTCTCTTGATCTCAAAACAAGTCAGATTTAACCTGTACAGTGAGTTTGAGGAGATTCCTGGAAGCACAGCCCCGACACTGACGACACTTCTGTGCTCTCGGGAAAGTCTTATATTTTTTTGTGCATGGATACTGCATTGTGGAGACACTTCACTCATTTTTCTGCTTCATATGGACAACAGCAGCACATATTTACAGATAATCATTATATATATATTTTTTTGTTTCTTCGTCTTTCCTGTATTTAGGCGTAAATACCCAACACTTGTTGTTGGCTACTCTTTTCCGTCACTTAGTTATAAGACTGTGCTGTGTGTAAGTTTGTCTTTTCATATTATTTATAAAATACATTTTTGTACTAAACAATAATATAAGAATAAATGGAGATGCATGAATTTTTTCTTAGTTTATCTCTGATTCATCATTTTGGTACATTGTACTGTACTGTATTCTACTGTAGATGTGTTTTTGACAGCATTAATTCTTACTGTAATCAATATATGAGTATCAGTAATAGAACTAATAATGATACTGTACACATGATAAATATGTGAAGGCATTCTATAAAAAGAAAAGAATAGTAATAATAATATGGACATAAAAGATACATTAAGCGCATTTAGTCAACTTGTGAAAGATTGACCACAGCCTGGTGTCACTCATGGCATGACCCTACTCCTACACGGAGTCCAACGGGCACTTCATTTTCTTCAGTCAAATGTGCCTTGAATGAGTTGTCTTGGTTGCTGTTAATGAGGTGGTGGATTGAACAGAAGCCTGTGTCTTGCCTGCATTCTTGTTGACTTAGCCAAACCAAAGCTATGACCAGAATCACCCTAACACACCGACCTCCACACACGAGCTGGAATTTTTACATCCAAATTGATGCTTTTCCTGACTGTTTGGCCGCATTACCAGAATTTTTTCTACACGTTAAGGGGAAAAAATAACAAAAATAGTTAGTACCACAGCTGTGGGGGGCATTTAAAATGGGCTAAGTGAGCAGTGATTTGCTGATCAACAATCAGTGCATGGTACTGGTAAGTTCAGTGTGTGGTGCAGAAAACTCTCTGGATTTTTTAACCACTTAAGAGATTTTAGATTTTGTTTTATAGTAAAATTTTTCTATAGAAGAGTGAGTATTGTAACAATACTTTTAAGAGCTATTCCTCTATAGTATTTTGAAAAAGAGATAATTTTCAGAACATTATTTCCAAGTTAGAGCTTGGGAGAATCAAACCATATGTATATGAGGTAATTTATGGAAAAAGTCAGTACTATAGTACTGTACAAGTAATAATACAAAATTGCTTGATATATAAAGATATCATTTATTTATATTAGTCAAAATGAAAAAGAGCAACAATCAAAACTATTTACACTCCCAATGGCCAGACTCACAATGGATCCATGATAACATAGAGCTTTAGGGCTGGGAGAGAGATCAAATGTGTTGGCTCTACCTACATAGACGTTAATTTAATCCGCACTCTTTACATCCGGAAATTGATTTAGGCTCTCAAAAGTGGGTAAGAGTAAGTTGGGAGTGGATGGGTACCTTGTTGATATTGATATGAAATAGTTTATTTAGACAGAAAAATACAGATACAGAGTGGACAATATTAACAATATTGACATGGCTGAGCCAATTGAGAGCCTGCACTCTTTTAGTGGTTATGGCATTATATGAGAACTCAAAACTTTGTGAGAGGAATTTGAGATGAAAGTAGGGAGGGGTCTGGAGCCCCCTTCTGGTTACCATAGTGCTAAAGGCACTTCAGGAACGGACCTGCCGTGGGAGTTGTTGTATGGTGATGACTTGGTGCTAACAGCAGATGGTAGTGAAAAAAATTAAGAACTGGAAGGAGGGAATAAAGTCAAAGGGCCTGAGAGTGAATGTCATGAAAACAAAAGTATTGATCAGTGGTAAGGAAAGTGGAAAATAGCCAAATGCTGTCTGAGAGAAATGTGTTGGCAACAACTCAATAAAGTGCAATGAGTGTAAGTGGGTACACAAGAGGTGCAATGGAGTAGATGACAGAAAGCAGGTTGTTAATGACTAAGTGTTCTGTATGTGCAGGTAGCCATGTGCCTATGGCAAGGCTGGAGAAAATACTTTATTGGGATATGTCCCTGGACTATTACCTGGATGCTATAAAGCCTGGTCAGTTGCAAGAGTCAGAAGTGACTGGAGGAAGTTTAGAGAGTTTTTGCATTTATTGACAGCAAGAGGTTCTTCCCTCTGAGTGAAGGGAAGAATGTATGCAGCTTATGTGACGTATGGCAGTGAAACAAGGGAAGTTAAAGAAAATGACATAATTGTGCAGGCTTCAGCAAGCTGAAATGAGAATGGTGAAGTGATATATAATGTGACACTGAAATACAGGAGGCCCTGTTCAGAGCTGAGAGGGCAGCTGAGTATTAAGAGTACAGTACTGTATTGGCAAAGTTCTACATTGAGGCAGGCTGAGATGGCTTGGTCATGCAGTGTGAATGGATGAGACCAGTTGGGTCAAGAGGTGCATGCACCTAAATGTTGAGGGAAGGAATGCCAGGGGTGGACCAAGAATGACATGGGAAGAGGTTGTAAGAATTGACATCAAGAATTAAGAATCTGACAAGAGACTGCAAGAGTCTGTGCAAGATGGAGAGCTGCCATCAAGTAATTAGGGCTAACCCATGCAACTGTAGAAAATGGCCGTTAAATATTGTTGCTGATGGTTAGTGCTTTAGTTGCTTTTAGAGTCAATCCACTTCTGGGTGAGAGGAGTAAAACAGCAGGTGCACTAGCTCAACTACTCATCTGCATAGGGTCAAGAAGGTACTACAGTATACTCCTTTCACATGAGCTTTGCAACCAGGGCCTAGAGCAGGTTTTAGTAATGCGGCTAATTGGCTGGTAGAATGAGATACATTGGGTTAATCTAGAGCTTTCATTACATGTACTGTACTTTATATTCTGCAATTGAAAGTGTTGATATAGAATGATATCCAAAGTCAGGAAGTAAAAATTAGTAATGTATGTGAAACACATTGATAATGTAGATATCTTAAAGCGAAAAAGAAAATGCTAAAAACGGTCAGTAACACCCAACTACCTGTATATTGTTATGCCGAGGCATAATGTACAGTACTGTACTGTACAGTATTATAATTTTTGCGAACTAGGTGATTTGATTATTTTCTATTCCAAGCAACAATTATTTTGGCAAGTTTGCGGAAATTTTCTTGTATACTGTATATTGATGCACTACTTATGTAAGAATTTTGTAAAACGTATTGCATAATTTTTTTTATGATTTTCTTACATATTGTAGGCCGAGATCTATCTACAGCTTTCCAGACGTATATTGTTCCAACCTGCAATGTCTGCAAGCTGCCTCGGAAGTCAGTCGACCGCTTCTGTTCAGAGTGTGAAGTACAAGCCTAGCGACAGCTAAAGATAATTGTTGTTCAAGTAATGTGGAATTGTTGTGAGCGATATAAAGTGAAAAGACTAAGGAATTGTACACTGATAGTGTGCTGCCTGTATAGATTCAAAGTGAGAAGTCCAGTAGTAAAGACATACCCTGTGAACAGTTTTGTGAAGAATTAGTGAACAGTAAAGAAGACTACAGTTCACAAATGTGTTTCTTTTACCCGGTGGAAATCTACGTGTCTGTAGTTTTGTCTGTACACTGATACCGATTGTCGGGAAATTACCAGAGACTGGTGGAACAGCTAGTGGTAATTCGATGACACTTGTGATATATTTACTGCTTTGGCCACTGGTAACCAGTGGTGGAAGCTGGTAAGCAGCAAAAGGGATTCATAACATTGTTATCAGGAGTGAGATATCCTAGTAGTAGTGAGGTATTAGTCAAGATGGAAGGTGCCCGTGTCCAGACCAGAAGCCAAGCCAGGCCAGGCCAGGCAACGGGAGATTTTCATGGCTGATCTGATGCAATTCTTACATGTACAATGAGAAAAACATAAACAACAATTCCATAATGCTTGAATAACTATTGCAAGAGCATTGAGAAGATTGGGCCCAAAAAAGGAGGACTGTTACAAGTGGAAACGAGAGCGAGAGAAAGGCAATACTGAGAAGAATGTGGAGAAGAGAGGATGTTGGACGTGTGGAGAAGATGGACACTTCAAGATCAATTGCCACGGACTTCCAAGAGTGAGAAATAATAGTAGCTCACTAAGACGGGGAAACTAGAGATGGCTAGTGCAGAATCCTACCATATTCTCGGGCAGAATTCTACCGTATTCTGGAGCAGAATCCTACCGTCTTCTAGGCGGAATCCGACCGTTTTCTTTGGCAGAATCTTACCGTCTTTAGTGACAGAATCCTACAGTCTACTGGCGCAGAATCCTAACGCTTTCTGGAGCGATATCCTACCGCCTCCTTGGGAAGAATCGTAGCGTATTCTGGGGCGGAATCCTCCCCTTTTCTGGGACGGAATCCTACCTAATTCTGAGGCGGAATCCTACCATCTCCTGAGGCAGAATCCTACCATATTTGGGGCGGAATTCTACCCTATTTTGGGGCGGAATCCTACCCTATTCGCGGACGGAATCCTACCCTATTCTCGGGCGAAATCCTACCCTATTCTGGGGCAGAACTCTACCAGCTTCTGGGGCGGAATCCTACCGTCTTCTGGGGTGGATTCCTTCCATCTTCTAGGGCGGAATCCTACTGTATTCTGGTATAAAATCCTCCCGTATTCTGCAGCGGAATCCTACTGTATTGTGGGCGGAATCCGACTGTTTTCTGGGGCAGAATCTTACCGCCTTTGGGGACAGAATCCTAAAGTCTGCTGGCGCAGAATCCTACCGTTTTCGGAGCAATATCCTACAGTCTCCTTGGGTTGGTTATTTACTTTCCCGAAAAGTAGATTATCTACTTTCCCGAAAAGTAGATTATCTACTTTTCGGGAAAGTAGATTATCGACTTTTTGGGAAAGTAGATTATCGACTTTTTGAGAAATATTACCTTATTTTGAGAAGTAGATTATCATAGGAAACGGGAACTTTGTATCACTGAAAATGGGAAATATCTACTTTCTGGGAGAGTTGGTTATCTACTCATCATAGAAAGCGGGAAATTTGAATTATAGAAAATGGGAAATAATCTACTTTCCGGGAAAGTTGGTTATCTACTTTCCCGAAAAGTAGATAGATTTTCTACTTTTCGG